ATATATAAAAATGCTTTTAATTAGTATAAGGAATTATATATAGTCATAAGAATTCAAACCGTTAGTTGGTAGGAAAAGTAAAAGATAACTTCTGTATTTTTTACAAAGGTACACTTCTAATTGCTAGTTTAACATAATGTTAGCAAGACATTAAATTCAAACAGTTAAACTATTTTAAAATCAAATCTATGAGAGAGACTGTCTCTAAAAAGAAAAAAATCTAATTTGGTTTAACAAAGAAAAAGTAACTCTTCTAGCCTACAATAAAAAACTTCTGATGTAGACATCTAATTTTGAAGTACAATGTATTGTGGGTATAAGCCAACTTGTTTTCTTTTATATTGAAATCCAAATTTTAACCTATGCTTGCCACAGCAGTCAGCAGCTAATGTAATGAATAGAGTATTCCTGCTAGCCTATAGCTTATGCCACTGAACATGAGGAAAGTACTCTAGTAAAAGCAAAAGGAAAGCAGGAAACAAGATGGGTATTTAAAAATATATACATATCTTCTATACAGTTTCACTCAACGGTATTTAAAACTAAAATTGACTTAATTAAACCTTTTTAATTTTTAAACGATCAGTGTTTTAATGAAAACTATTATCCTACCTTAGGTAATATTTTTTTAAGAACTTGAAATATATTTAAAGTGGTATATGATTTATACACACTTGTCTAATCTAAGTTCTTAAGCCTTACAATACAGCAACTAATAGCTCAAGATGTAAGCCTTTAGATATTTCTCTGAAGTAATATGCTAACCTTTTATAAAAATTACATGTATAAAATTCTTGAGATAAACTGAAATCTATAAGAAAAATCTTGCCGATTTTTTTTACTCTTCTTCCAGATTACCTCAACCCAGACTCCCCCCATTTTGCTCATTCTTTTTTTCTATCTATCTATCTATCTATCCATCCATCCATCCATATATTATTTTTAAAGTCTCTTGAAAATCATTTCAGAGAAAAACTCAGGTTTGGATATCAATGATGAGAAAAAAACATGAAAATTGTATTAAAAGTTTGCTATAGCTATCATTTTTCTCATATCACACTCTTGTATAAACATAAATAATTTATGTTGATATCATATCATCTATCCTTTAATAAATTATTTAAGCTCAGCACCAGTTAATGTATCAAATCAGAAAAATCAAGATATCCAGCAAGGTAACACCAAATGAACCATAAATTTGAGACAAACATCAAACTACTTTGTTACCTTTAAAAACAAAACCAAATATAATAAACGATGGAAAGAAAAAATTGAACATGGATGGACAATTCAGGCCGAGGCTTACTCTACACAGTGAAATAAGATATACATTATTGAACATTTCTTTACATGACATTCACCCATTTTCAATAACACAAAAAGACAATGAAAGGTTTATCTACAAGTAAAAAGATGGAAGTATTAATAAACACACTATGCTTAGACTAATCCCCTATCCCCTAGCCAATATAAAAGGAAATAAAAAATTTTAACAATCATCCTATTTGTGATTAAAAACATGAAATATAAACTGGAATTCAAAGTTACTGAAAGTAAAAAAAAAAAGCTATCAGCTTATTCAACTTAACAAAACAATTTAAAAACTATACTTTTATTTATCAGCATTAGTAATTGACTTTTAAGCCTCTTATGGATGCATATTTTATAAAGCAGACAACTCTTCTGAGCATTTATCCTTAACACTCTTACCTTCCTCTCTTCCTGCCTATTTCCACTAAATGGCAATGCTTAAATTTTTCCAGACATTGCCTTCTGTCATGTTACAACACTCGATTACTCCATTTTTAAGACTCTATAATATTTTTCAGGCCTTTTCAAAACCTATCTTACTCTCAAATTTTCCAAAACATTTTGAGATAACTTTAAAAACTATATTTAGCCCATGTCCTCCTGAAAAGACTTGAGGAAGCACAAGACAATAAATAAACATGGAACATAAACCACAATTCACAAAACTACAGAAATATTGACAGAAAGGTACAGATATACTTTTAAGTGTTTACTGATGATTTTACAATGCAATATTCAAGGAAAAGCACATAGGTTTTACAGTTAAGCACTTAGTATAAAAAGTTTTACATATATTAGTATTAGATGTGATGGTCTGATGATGATGATGATGACAATAAAGGGTGGCATGATCAATCAATGGTTTTCAAACTTTTTGAGACCCTTTCTTCAAGTGAAATCACATACAGAAGATGGATATAAAAACACATGGAATCAAAGCTGCTGTTTCAGAAAAGCAGGGGATGCAGACACCTACCCTCAATCCCATCCTTCTCTGCTCCCTTTCACCCTGCCTCCTGGAAGGCCATGAGGTACCTCTGACAAACCTCTATGGTTCAGAGGAGCAGAATTTAAAATTAAAATTATTGGTTTAATTGATTAAAAGTTATTTGAAATCATTATTTATTTATTTATTTTTTTTTTTTTTTCTTGAGACAGGGTCACTCTGTCCCCCAGGCTGGAGTGCAGTGGCACAATCACAGCTTACTGTAGCCTCAACCTCCCTGGGTTCAGGTGATTCTACCACCCAGCTTCCTCGGTAGCTAGGACCACAGGCACATCACCATGCATGACTAATTTTTGTATTTTTTGTAGAGAAGAGACTCCTAGGCTCAAGCAATCCGCCTGCTTCGGCCTCCGAAAGTGCTGGGATTACAGGTATGAGTCACCGCGCCCGGCTGAACACATGTAAATTACAGAAACTCAGTGTGACCTTGAGGACTAATTTAGCTTTTGATTTACTTTTCAAAAATGGGAATATGTTAATAATTGAAGAACCATAAACTACAGAAACCCAAGGAATTTTAAAGGTTAGAGAGAATCTTAATCTTTTCACATTTTACACATGAGGAGCTGAGGCTCAAAGAGGTTAAGCAATTGGTCCAAGTTCTCACACCTAATCCACAGCAGAACTGAGAGAAAAACACAGGTCGGTTGCTTTTCCAACCTACCTCATGGTCCCTCTCCATTCTCCCTAAAATGAGTTGCAAATATTTTAGGTACTGTTCAAATAGGACTTACTATACTCAAATTCTTATTTTCTTGTTTTTTAGTTCACAAAGTATAATTTTGCATACCACATACTAACGATCACATAAGCACCAGTTATAATTCCTTTGAAAACATTTTGAAAGCTACTGCAGAAGTGGAAAGTTGTCTTTATAGACAAGTCAAACTTAGAAAGCTTAAATCTAATCTTCTGCAAAATTCAGTAAGTATTAACAATATAGTAAAACAGAGTTAACAGGGACCCCAAGTCCACAAATACCTTTTCCTACAGAATAACAATCAATCAAACTTTTGTTGATTAGGTTTTAGGTTTTTTTGTTTTTGGGGTTTTTTTTGGCCCCTATTGCAGGGTAAGGATGTAAGGATAAATGAAATTACACCTAGAAGTGATATGGAACTAACCATGAACAAAAACAAATTTCTGTATAAAGTAGATGTTAAAGAAAAAAAAAAAACTTGCTGTATAGTGAGTTCAAGAAAGACTTTTCTTCTTTTTGAGAGAGTGTCTCCCCCTATCTCCCAGGCTGGAGTACTGTGGCACAATCACAGCTCACTGTAGCCTTAACCTCCTGGGATCAAGCAATCCTCCCACCTCAGCCTCCCTCGTAGCTAGGATCACAGGTGTACACCACCACATGCAGCTAATTATTTATTTTTTGTAGAGTTGGGGTCTCACTATGTTGCCCAGGCTGGTCTTAAACTCCTGGATTCAAGCAATGTTCTCGCTTCAGCCTCTCAAAGTGCTGGGATTACAGGTATGAGCCAATAGGCCTGGCCCAAGGAAGACTCTTGACAGTTCTGCTTTCTGCCTGGAAGCTGTATTTAATTCATAAATCTGAACTCACATTCCCTTTGAATTTGATTTTTCCTCTCTATTCTTTCAAGGATATTGAGATATGCTACAATTCTCTATGGAGTTCTAAATCAGAATTTTAGGTGATGACAGAAAGGAAAAAGGATCACAGTTACCACGTTACAAAGTTCAGAATCTGGAAGCAGCTTATTTTTCATCTTCGAAATATAAGACAAGATCTATTTATCTACTAAACAGACTTTGTACTGATTTAATAAAGATTCTGTTGACATATATGTAAAGTGAATATAAAACTATTCTGTATTATACATAATTTGGTATCAAATAACGAGTAGGAATCATAAAATAATATCCATTGTATTATAAGACATAAAAGTTGAATAGCAGATTTCAAATAACTATATCATTTCTCAAAACAAACTTAGTGAAAAACACATACTATATTTATCTAATACATAATGCTACAAAATAAGGTATAGTAATTTTAATTTTTTTGTAATAAAAATTATACTAAAATCAGATGAGAAAGGAAAACAATACCTCCCACTTTTCTCCAAAGATTATGCAGATCAAAATAGATTTATTGCTATTAAAGTAAGGAGCTATTAATTTGCACCGGAAAAAAAAAATTGCAGTGTCTTATATAAGTACATAACAATGTTCTTCAATTATCGCCACAGCAAAGACCGGAAGCTCATCCCTTTCTCACTTGTACTACTCCCACTCAAAACCTCTTCATATATCCTCTGAAAAAAAAAGCATTCTGTTGTCCAGGAAAATCCAAAACTTTTTGTGAAGTATATTGTTGCTGGAAAAAACTTACCAAATATAATATAAATATCAAGTATTCTAAGTGTGAATAGTTACAGTGGGAAATCCAAACCTTTGAAAATAAAGCTTTAACACATTAAGGTATGAGAATGGAATATCACAGGAAAAATTACCTTAATACCTTATAATGAAATTACTTGAGAAATTAAAATAAGAGGAACATTAATTTATCTCCTTTATGAATATGAAGAAACATATAATGAGGGAATGAAGGATACATTTTCACCTCAAGGTAGTAAGATTGCCTATAATGAAGAAGCAGTGAAAGGAACTAGAAACTAGGATTTGTGTTTGCTTTTTCCCTTACTTAACCAACCTTTAACTGGTGGAAAAGGATGAGAAGGAAGTGAATCTGAACACAGTTCCAGTGGAAACTGTAAAAGTTCTTCATTATCTGTAGAGGCTAGAAAGGCAAGAAAAATACCAGTTATTTAGTTATGATCTATTATTAATTTTTTTAAATTAAGAATCTGTGACAACATACATATACATATTCTCAGCTCCACCTTCCCGCCCCAATTTATTCTGGTCATTTTCTCCCTGATTTCTCCCATGGAAACCCTTCATCTACATGATGCTGAGACTGGTGCTATCTTCCCTGGTATGACTGTTGTGAGGCTTTAAGAAATTAATATCTGTAAGTAATTTAGCACAGTGCTTTGCAAATAATAAATGCTAGATAATAATAATTAATATCCTACACTTTGTCCATTACTAGTTTTTATGCCACTTAACCTGGTTACATGTCTTCTTTGACAAATATCGGAACACATAATCATTTAATACATCTACCTGACATTAACTCACTGCTCAAATCTTATCAATGCTATACATGTAGAATGTAATCAACTTTTAAAAGTTTAAGACTAATCATGAATATTTCATTTAGCCAGTAAGTCATTCGAACTATACAAGAAAGTATAGTATCCCTCATTATGTGTTTTTCAGAACACATAGTTTCCAGTAATTTGGATTTCTTCAGAATATATTACGAATACTACTTTCTAAATTTTACTGGATTAAGGCCACCTTTGTGAATCTGTTGAACACTATGGAACTTGTCCTGAAAATAATACACAGGCACACAATTGTGCTTACTACATCAGTAGGTCCTCAGATGCCTTGAAGACCTTGCCAGAGATCGTAGTACAGAAAACCTTATATTACTGCAGAATTAGTATGCTATAATTTAAGTCTAAAAAACCCAGCAGCATTCCCTATGTAAATATCAGTCAAATACCACCTAGTCATGTATGAAAAATATCAAGTCAGCCATATGCTTATCCACACAGTTATCTTCACAAAGATGAACAGAAAAAGCAGCAAATATTCTTCAAGGAACAAGTAATTTACTGAATCCAGCTGTCCTGTATATTTTATCACTGAACCATAACACAGACAAACACAAACTGAACTTCCTATCCAGTAAAGATTTACCTCTTTGCAATGACTTTTCAACAGGGGTTTTTGTGGTTTGTAAAGCCTGATTTTTGTCAAAAGTTATTGCAACTGCCGTGACTGTAACCTAGAATTATAGAAACAATATGGTTAGCAAAATAATCACTGCCAAAACTAAGTTTCTTACATATTTTTTTCAGTACCATGGTACAACCTATACCAAATACCTTTCCTGGTTAAAATCCTCAACCAGAATTATATATAAATTCAGATACACAAACTACAACTATGCCAAACAGTTACACCTAAATCTCGATATTCCAGAAAGAGCTGAAGAACCTTCTCTAAAAAATGGGAACTGGTAAAATCCCACATGATGGGTACAGATCCTACTGTACACATGCTAGAGCATATGTGCACTTACTCCCTCAGATAACTAAAGTTCAGAAAAAGAAACACACATGGCCTAATGCATACTAACATATATTTTGTAATACTCTGAGGTAAACTAGTATAAGTTACTTAATTATGGCAAAATTATGATAATGAAATAGATAATAAAAATAATAGATCAGATAAAGACTATTCTTTAATAATGGACTAAATCTTAATTACCTGAATTAATTCATCTTCAGGCAGAGATACTGTAAAATTTACATGGCAAAGGCAGCAGGGGATCATAGATCGTAGTTTAAAGTACAGGCTCTACACAATAGAAAATATTAGTAATGTCACCTTTTTTATTTAAAAATTTATAAAAGCTGATTTTCTTAATGTACATTATATTATAGTAAATGGAGAGTTAAAAAAAATTAAAACAAAACTGGTCCACTTTTTTGTGTGTATTTTTACACTAAGGATATACTTTTTAATATTTAAGTAGACAATAAGATTTAATCATTTGTCAGTAAGTCACAATAAACAATATAGTAAGTTTTTTTTAATGTATACATATACACTAGATTTTTATGGAAGTTAAAGCTATTAACTAACAAACTATTTCTTTTATAGTATGATATAGTAAGGGGGACAGGACAACTTTAGTATCTCATCTGCTGACAGAGGTAAGATAAGGAGGTAGGAGTGATTCAGCCCACAACTTTGTAAAGTATTACAGGTAATACAGCAATATAGACACTTTTAAAGTTTCATTATCTTAGACGCATCAAATAAAATTTAGTCAGAAGGTTCCTACCTTGAGCAAATTTTCACAGAGATCATTAAAGTTCTTATTGAGAGCTTGATTAGTCAGGTTGAGGCTGCTTAATCTGATTACTCTTACTGAAGTGAACATCTAAATGTGGGGTGACAGAACATGTCATTTTATTATTTTTAACTAAATATTTTAACAGTTGATAAATTGCCAAATAATGAACAATATTAACTAACGTAGTAGAATAAGGATAGTATTTTAATTGCAATAAGGAGGTTAAAAAAAAAAAACAAAACAAATATTTAGATGGAACTTATTAAGATAACTTATGTGTTATTTGCTTAAAATTAAGAAAAAAAGGTTTACCTGTATTTCAGATGTCCAATTATTTATACCGGGCATAATTTCTGTATTACAACTATAAAAGCCTGTCAAAATAAATTATAATCAAAATATATGATAATATTTCATTGATTTTTGTGTTAAATGACATTTTTCAATTATTACATGAAGTTCTAACTATAAAACCCTTCATTTTTTTCCTTCTAAAATTATACCTGCAGGAGACTTTAAACCATCCTAATAAATTATCATAGGTTTTTTTTTCCATGTATAAATATAAAAGGACTAAAAATCACTTCCACCTAAGTTATGTTTTCTACCTTGGAGTAGCAAAGTACATGACAAGCTGTGACACTGTGGTAAGTCCTTCCTTTAAAGTAAAATTAGTACTGTAACAATTATGAGCTAAAACATTTATATATAAAACTAGTTTCATCTCAAAGGTAATTTTTTTGTTCACCTGAAGGAGGAGGAACATCAGTAAGTAGAGAATGGACATCTTCCATGGCATCTGTGTCATCAATCTTAAAATAGGGAATAAAACTATTATATATGTAGTAAATGCATAATTATTTCACATTAAAAAGACTATTTATTAATAGAGTCAAGAAAAAGCAGAGTCATTTTTCCCTAAGGAAAAATATGTAACAAGAAAATTCTAATATCAGTAAATTCCTCCACAGTAATAACCACAAATACTTCTAAGTGAAATATTTTACATACAAAGTACACTAAGTTAAAAAAGAAAACTAGCTCTTTCTCAAACCTTTACGAGAATATGTTTCTAAAGACTTACAAAGATGTCATAAGCAATCACTATTCCAATTTGTTTAAATTAATAAAGTGTAATCAAATCCTTTGACTAAATGCAGAACTGCTTTACAATGGAATTAGGCAGAGATAAATTTAAAGACATATTTAATAATAGGTCTAAATTCTATTTTTCTAATAAAATAAATAGGTCTAAATTCTATTTTTCTTATAACACCGTATTCCACTGTGAATAATAAACAGGGAAACTACCCAGCTGGACAGGTGCTGACATTCATCTGCATCTCAGTTTCTAAGTCCTAATCTGCAGACTTGCTAAGCTTCTTCTTCCCACATCACCCTCAAGACTTCAAGAACCACTTTCACTTCCACTTCACGTGGCTACCCACAGTCACAGTCATACCTCAACCCACTATTCCCCAAAATGCTCCACACCCAGGATCTCAAGCATTCTCCAACTACAGTCCTGTCTCTTTGTCCTCTCTTACTGGATCTTCTACTTGCCCTCTGTCCTCTGCCCATGTTTGAAGCACTTTGTTCTCATGTGCCTCTCTACTTAGCCAGGATCCCAAGATCAGACATATCAATAATGCCCTAGATCAAACTTCAGGTAATGTTTGACATCACCTGGAAAGTTAGTTAAACAGATTCCTGGGCTCCACGTTTAAATTCTCATCTACTAGGTCTGAGGTAGGGGCCCAAGAATTTGCATTTCTTACAAGCTCCCAGGTAGAGCTGACGCCACAAGTAGTTACATCACACTTTGAGCAGCATTGTTCTAAATAGTACCCTGGAACTTTTAGCCTCCTTGACCTGGCATATTTTCCATAACATATTTTCCATTCTCAGACTGTAGAGAAATGTGGGGAAAAAGTGGGGGACAAATAACCATATATGTTGGGTTTTCTACAAAATGACACTCTCACCTTAGTTAGGCCTGTGCGTCTCTCATAGATCCTTGTTACAGCCACTGGCACTGTTCCTGACTCTTTAAACCTCCAATCCCATCCCAACACTATTCTACCACCAGCTTCCTGCCACACTGAGATCAAAGCATCTGATTTTTTTCTCTTTCAATTTACATCTTTTTTTTTTTTTTTTTTTTTTTTTGAGGCGGAGTCTCGCTCTGCCGCCCAGGTTGGAGTGCGGTGGCCGGATCTCAGCTCACTGCAAGCTCCGCCTCCTGGGTTCACGCCATTCTCCGGCCTCAGCCTCCCGGAGGCTGGGACTACAGGCGCCCGCCACCTCGCCCGGCTAGTTTTTTGTATTTTTAGTAGAGACGGGGTTTCACCGTGTTAGCCAGGATGGTCTCGATCTCCTGACCTCGTGATCCGCCCGTCTCGGCCTCCCAAAGTGCCGGGATTACAGGCTTGAGCCACCGCGCCCGGCCTCAATTTACATCTTACTCATTTATTTTTCCTGTCCTTCGATATGAAAAAGAAAAATCTCTCTCTTTGGGAGCCAACCATTCTACAGGGGAGTGCAGAGGAGGCAGATCTGGGAAGAAGGAGTCTCCATCAACTTTTCATGTGATATTTACTCTCTGGGAAAGTTCCTAAAGTGTTCTGAGTATCTTTTCATAAAGATGGGTCAATTATACCTTTTGAATTCGGTAAGAAAATACTACACTCAGAATTCACAGTGTTTATATTAAAAAATGTTCTAACTACAGTAACATACAAAAAAAGTAATAATTATAGTAAGTTAAAGAATGACACTTTAATTTCTTATTTAAATTCATTCAAGTTTATGAAAATAACTTCAAAGGTTTAATACTATTGTATCATTATTTCAACCCATACATTAACTTTTTCAGAACCATCTGCATTATTATATCAGTCACCTGGTAGTGAACAAACATGTTACCAAGTTCTGTTGTTTTCAAGTTTGTTGTAATTTATATACTAATTTTTAAAATATTTATAACAGTTGCAATGATATAAAAGTATATTAATTTAGCATCTGAAAAAATGTGTATCTTAGCTTCCAAAACCTTTAAGAAATTAGTCCAATGCGACATTACCTCCAAAACAAAAGCATCTTTTTTCCCATGTGAAAGGTCTAATTCTGTAACTTCATCCGAGCTTTCTGATTGAGATCTTAGAAGTCTTGAGCGTTGCCTAGGTTCTGGGATGGGTGATCCTATAATCTCTTCAGATATCTCCTAAAAGAAATGTAATTGTTTCATATTAAATGAGATTGTCTTTTCCAGTTTAAATTTTATATCTTTATATTAGTAGACACCTAGCTGTGGAGAAAAAGCCTGTAAACTATACTCAGTGAAGTCTGTACTTAAGTATAACCTGTATAACTAAACTTTTATAGAGGATATGGCAGCCTTAATGATACGAGGATATGGCAGCCTTAATGATACATGAATCAGAAAAATATACATAAGTGTCACAGACATAAAAAGACAAAACTGACATCCAGTGTATACACAGGACACTACAATGTGTATGGAATTGGCAGTCCTTACAGCCCAGAAATCCAGTACTCCTGGGTGTGCATATTTTCTATTCAGCATTATGAAAGTCCTAATAGGCCATAAAAATGTAAAGACTTATGTTCCTAGAAAGATTTCTAATCTTTTATATCTTTTCTTATCCACTGGTAATTTTTCAAAGCTCCACATAGCAAAACGTGGAATATGATCAATGCATGAGTATGAATATATATATACATATACTATGCACGTATTTGTTATTTATTAAGCTAAATAAACTTTGGTAGTTACAATAATGATCCTTTTAAGGTCAATGTATGGTGCAATACTGTATGGCTTAGTGAGCTTTTTGCTGTTACATAGCCAAAGATCGCTAGAGGTTCTAAGCACCTGTTGGCCACAATGAATGCTGGAAGAATGTGAATATGTGAAAACAAAAGCAAAAGGCATAGCCTATTGCTGATGCAACCGAGTTGTCTTTTTAATAAACAAGGAAATTGTACATAAAGTTCTTCAAAAATATATAGTTTTAAATGTTCATTGCTAGTACATACCTTAGATAAAAGGCTACCACTGCACAATTTCACAATGTAATGATCTATGGAGCACTTTCACATCCATTTATCTTATTTGTACTCCAAATTAATCTGCCCTCTATAAAGTTAACATTATAATGACTACAAAATGGAAAAGAGCTGTAATTCAGAAGTAAATTAGTAGTCTGCCTAGATCTGAAAACTAGAAAGTGTAGAGCCAGTCTAGATCAGTCTTTTGATACACAGTGCAACGTTATTCCCATTAGATACCACACAACTTTTTATAATTTTACAGTAGTTTTAAATTCTGTTATGCCTTTGTTCACAATGCCACAGACTTAATAAATATAACTGTCTGGTATTTAATACGTTCTACACTCATACTGAAATTTCATCACTAGTACTGTTATTCCAAGAGATATGCATCTTACTTTGATACCTTTGATTATCTACAGAAAGCTTAAGTGGCACTACACCTCTGTATTAGAAACATTTTTTAATGTATTGAGAAAAAATTCAAACAGCAGCATTTATTTCATTGAGGGCTATCATCCCAAGAGAAGGAACACCCTGATCCACATATTCAGGGTGGACATAACACAACACTGTAATGTATATAGTGGCCTGGTAATCAACCCTGTATACTGACTGTCAAACAAATGCTGACAGATTATGCTAAAAGACTATAATGTAGTCAGTATCTACAATAAGGAAAGACATATTAGAAGATTCATAAACTGATGAGTACTGTTGTGAAAATATAGTCATCCTCAACACATGAAATTCATATATACTAAAATTTTTTAAATCATAATAGATTCACTCCCTCCTTCTAAATGTAAACTGTGTGACACACAGTAGCAGCTCAGTAAGTACTGAATGGATGAAGTAACTTAATTCATATTCTTATTTAAATACATCCCTGTCTCCAAAGACCTTACATTACAGTAAAGGAAGACAGATATATAAAAACTAAGTATAATAATATGTAACAGTTTCTATACAAGTACATACAGGTACAACAAGTACACAATGGAGGAAGAGTCCACTCTCCCTGTGGGAGGTCAGGATGGATTTACAGAGGTAAGAAACACTATTAAGTAAAAGAGTTCAGCTCATATCATTAGAAATAATAAATGAAGAATATATGAAACCCTAACACAAAGTTTTACAAAGCACTTTTCCCAAGTGGCAGACTATAAACAGATGTTCAAATATCAAAATATGACTATCAAATAAAAATAATGTACTATAAAAATAAGCCGTCAGTAAAGTGGTGCACAAAGAACTTTTACAGTCTATTTTTCAAATATAAATATGTTAACACATCAACATTTGTATTCATTTTAAAGAAGCCCTAAGTCAGTACTGTTCAATACAAATATAAAGCAAGCCACATACATAATAAAGTAAAAAGAAATAGATAAAATCAATTTTAGTAAAACATTTTATTTCATTCAGTATATCCAAAATATTAAATTTTTGACACATAATCAATACAAAAATATTCATATTTTACACAGTTTTTTCACACTAAATCTTTAAAATCCAGTGTATATTTTATACTTACTACACATTTCAATTCAGACTAGTCACAAGTGCTCAAAAGTCACATGTGGCCAGTGGCTCCCACAGTGAATAATGAACAGTGCAGCTCTAGGTCATATCCTTAAAATTCCTCCCAAATTAACAACTATACTAGAATAATACGATGAAAGCTATACTTGTGATGCAACAATCCAGACACACTGTTCCAGAAGATCAGCCAGTTAGGTAAGACATTTAAAATAATAAAAACAACAACGATGTTATAATTTCCTTTTGTGAAAGTATTTTATTATTAGAGACTCATAAAAACAAAAAGTTTCATTCTAACTCCAACACATTTTTCTTTCAATTCAGACTACTGCCATTAGGCATCCACACAGGAGGAAGCATCGTGATATTTATTGCAAAGTTGGTAAAAAGACTGATTAAAGGAAATGACTGGGAGCAAACTTGTAAAAAAAGAAACTGTAACTGAAAAACTGTATTCTTTCACATTTTTACCACCGATAAGAATCTCTTTTTACTAACAAAGAACATTTTAAACCATTTATTTCATCACTCAACAAATACTAAGAGACTAATACCAAGAGAAACTTTTCTAGGCAATAGAAATAAAGCCCTCATGGAGCTTCATTCTACTGGTACTAACAGGCAATAGACCAATAAAACACACACACACACAAACACAAACACATTCACAAAGATAAGAGCTACAGAAAACAATAAAAGAGGGAAAGGTGATAGGAAGTGCCAAAAATGAAGTCATAATTTTTAAATAGAATGGTTAGAGTAGGCTTACCCGAAAAGGAGACAGTTGAGGAAAGACATAAAGGGAGGTGAAAGAATGAGTAATAAGGAAAGCTAATCTAAACAGTGAAAAAAAAATCTTATGTCCTCAATAAGATAACCTAAAAATATACTAATAAATAATAACTAATATATTCACAATGTAGGTTTGTTTTACTTACTGGAGGATTGATTTCATATAACTCTTTGTTTTTAGCAATTGTGTCATTTATCTTCTTCTGCATATGAGAGATGTGTTGTTCATATGAGCCATCATTAGGAGTCTTCCCGGCAATCTGAATACCACCAGGGGTTGGTAAAGCTGCTAAATATACACCTGTGGCAGACTTGTAAAAAATAATGGCGAAATAATCAGAAAAAATATCTACAGAATAACAGTCCTTACGTTTTCATATTTAAGAATGTGGTCAACAGCTGGGTGCAGTGGCTCACACCTGTAATCCCAGTACTTTGGGAGGCCGAGGCGGGCAGATCACTTGAGGTCAGGAGTTCGAGACCAGCCTGGCCAACATGGTGAAACCTCGTCTCTACTGAAAATACAAAAATTAGCTGGGTGTAGTGGTGTGCACCCATAATCCCTGCTACTCAGGAGGCTGAGGCAGGAGAATCACCTGAACCCGGAAGGCAGAGGTTGCAGTGAATCAAGATCATGCCTCTGCACTCCAGCCCGGGCAACAGAGCAAGACTGTCTCAAAACAAGAAAAAACAAACAAACAAACAAAAACCAAGAATGTCGTATAAGGAAGAATATAATCAGCATCAGGGTATATATAGGACATCTCTGGAAAGGCACACAAAAACAACTGGTAACAAGGGTTGGTTTCTTTTGGGGAGGCCCCTGGGTAGGTGGGAGACAGTTATGAAATGGGGATTTACTTTTCACTACATACCCAATTATATTTATGTTTCTACCTCACAATCTTTTTTTTTTTTTTTTTGAGACCAAGTCACACTCTTACGCCCAGGCTGGAGTGTAGTGGCACGATCCTGGCTCACTGCAACCTCCACCTCCCGGGTTCCAGTGACTCTTCTGCCTCAGCCTCCTGAGTAGCTAGGATTACAGGCGCCCACCATCACACTCAGCTAATTTTTGTATTTTTAGTAGAGATGGGTTTTCACCATGTTGGCCAGGCTGGTCTCCAACTCCTGACCTCAACTGATCCACCTGCCTCAGCCTCCTAAAGTGCTAGGATTACAGGTGTGAGCCACTGGGCCCTGACCTACCTCATCATTTTTAAAAATACAATTAGAATTAAAAATAGCAAAAAAATATTAAAGGTTGCTAAAAAACAAATTTTTCATGAATGAGCAGACGCTCTATCTTTAAAGGTGGCAAAAGTAAAGAGGAAACTTTTGCAAGGCAAGAGACTGAAATTCAGAAAGGACAGGGAACTTACTCAAGTCAAGTCAGTAAATGTAGACAAACGATTTAAATTGAGTGTTTCTCACTTCAAAACCCAAACTTATTTCACTATATTGCCCTACCTTCCTAATTAGCAGAGAAAATTTTTTACTTGATACAGATTTATTTTAAATATCATCTAATTAAATTACTATTTAATATCTGACTCTGAAACAGTACTACATATCATTACTACTGGAAAACTATTATGAGAAATACAAAACAAGGTAACATTTACATATATCCTTATGTGCACTTATGTGTAAATAAGCTAATACAAGCAAAGCAAAAAAATAGAAGTATAAACATCAAATTGTTAACGTCAATGGGGTGGAATGGGAAACAGAAAAGACAACTCTTTTAACTCAACACCAATCCTAAAAAGGGATTGATGAAGAAGTCTGCATAGTAGATGAAATTGTTCCTCAAGAGTGCTTACTCCTGGTTTGTTCATTAGTGTCCATCACTGTATACATGACCAAGTCTCTAATACTCAACCAGGGAACGCCCCTCCGCCATGCCATATGAAGCCTTAGTCCACCACTTCTAATGCGTTTTAGCTCCTCATTAATGAAGCAACAACCCTGAACGGCTGAGAACACAGACTCTGGCATCAGATAGGCCTGGATTTGAAATCCAGTTCTAACACATGTAACCACATCACTTTATAGTCTCACCCTATCACAGCACACATTTTCTCCTCCTGTAAAGTGAAGATAATATCACATTCCTTCTGGAATAGCACAGTGCCGAACATCTAGTCGGCACTCATCAGAGATCACCCTATAAAGAAGCTACTCTTGAGAGTTCACGATTTAAGTGCACAAACTATAACAAAGCACAAAGATGAAATGTCAAACCGTGGTAGTTAATAGCACCAGTGATCAAGAAGGAAAAGATTAGTATGAACCAGAAAAGCAATACTGGAGGCAAGTCTTGAATTACATCAGTGTCATAAACTAGTTTCCTGGGACTCGATCATCAAAAATGTTTGCTATAGCTAGCAAAATGTTTTTTAAACCCCTCAATCTGAATCCAGCTCTTAATTGACATGCATAGGCACCCACCAATCATTACAGTCTTGCATCAAGCACAAATTATACATTTATGTAATGTCCTCACTAAGCATACAAATTTTTAGACCACTGAATTAAAATAACTACTTTTCCCCAAGTTACTCTAAGTATAAAAGAGAATTTTTTTTTTAGACAGGGTCTCGCTCTGTCCCCAGACTGGAGGGCAGTGGCATGATCACGGCTCACTGCAGCCTCAACCTCCCAGGCTCAGCTGATTCTCCCACCTCAGCCTCCCAAGTCGCTGGAACTATAGGCACAAGCTGCCACGCCTGGGTAATTTTTGTATTTTTAGTAGAGATGGGGTTTTGCCATGTTACCCAGGCTGGTCTCAGACTTCTGGGCTTGAGCGATCTACTCACCTCGGCCTCTCAAAGTGCTGGGATTACAGACATGAGTCACCATGCCCAGCCTAAATATCAAATATTTTAATATGAACCAAGTTACTTATTACAAATTTCTGTTGTTAGAAAACTGTTAATACCTAATTAGTTTATCGTCATCATACAATTATCCTCTACGTACAAAAATTTACATATTTGCTCTTAGAGAAAGATGAAACGGAACAAATGTGCATTCGACCTGCAAATGTATAGGGACAAAAAAGCCAAATTCCATAAATTTCTTAAAATTAAATGTCTAGGTATTCTCAAAAAGATGGCAAGAGAATTTAAATTTGAAAACTGCCAGTAACACAGACAAAATGCTGGTTAGCAAAGTACCTAGAAAATGAGAGAATTTCCATAAACATAGTTCATCAGATTCCATATGATCAATACACATTTTGCAGGCACCTGGTTCTCTGAGTCCTACACTACTTATAGAAGCAGCACTGGCTTTCCTCATTATCATCTTTCCAGTCTGAATTTATTTGCTAACAAGCCAAAATGAACCTTAAGCTAAGACACAGCTGTTTCTTCTTCTCTTGTATTTCATCAGCACTTAAGAAACACACCTTTTGTTTTGTTTTGTTTTGTTTTGTTTTAGACAGAGTTTCACTCTATCGCCTCGGTTGGAGCGCAGTGAAATGATCAGGGCTCACTACAGCCTCAACCTCCCAGGACTCAAGTGATCCTCCCACCTGAGCTTCCTGCCAGCACACCTGGTTAATTTTTAGTATTTTTTTTTATAGACAGAGTAGTCTCACCCAGGCTGCTCTAACTTCTGGGCTCAAGTGATCCTCCCACCACAGCCGCCCAACGTGTTGGAATTATGGGTGTGAGCCAACACACCTGGCCAGAAACACCTGTATTTTATTACACAGTCTACCACTGGCCACAGGTGCACATTTATGATAAAGTTTAATTGTCTGTCTAATAGTGTCTCACATGTTTTGCTTTATCTTCTCCATCAAAACTAAAGATTAATCCACATCCTGGGGTAATTTTGCTCTGCCCACTAAGGGACATTTGGCAATTTCTGAAGACATTCTTGATTGTCACAACTGGGGAGATGATACTATCTTATAGTGGGGAGTTGCCATGGATGCTGCTAAGCATCCTACAAAGCACAACTCAGTTCCCGGCAACAAAGAGGTATCCTGCCCTGGTACCGAGATGGGGGAACCCTGTTTTAGCAATATGTAAACAATAATAAAGTCCAGAAAAACTGTGGACAACTTATTAAGCAAGTGACAAATGGTAACTTTTAGAAATAGAATTATTAAAGTTATGATCACAGTCCCTTTAAAATATGTGAAAACCCATCACCAGATATTTCACTTCTTAAAATGTCCTCATCCCATAAAGGTCTTAACGTCAAAGTCTTTAGATAAGTCTTTGAAAAGACTCTTTGAATCACATAAAATAGAATCTACTATAATTAAAGAAATCATAAAACAAAACCAAAAACATCTAAACTTACCGCTAAGCCCATCAACATATTTTCACCCACTGTGATCTGAATTCTTAGTCCAAACAAAGCATTCATTCCTTTGAGTTTTAGTTTATTCATTAGCTGAGTATGCACTTCATATTCCATAAATGGCAACAGATTACTGATAGCTGTAGCATTTGCTTCTGCCTGTGCTTTCTTTTTTAAGCGACATAACCTGTAAATGAAAATAAGTCAGTGAACAGTATTCTTGGTGCCACCTTTAAAAATGTCAATTTTTAAAACTTTCTAAAAGTGTGCTGAATAAAACATTTACTTGTTTTTAATGGACTTACTGAGTTATATCAATAAACTTTTCTGTTTTTTTGTCATTGTATAAATTTGCACTAAAAATCCTATTTCATAACAGGTACAAAAAAACAGAAAGAATGAGTAAGACCTAGTATTTGATAGCACAACAGGGTGTCTACAGTCAACAATAATTTAATTGTACAAGTTAAAATAACTAAGAGTATAACAGGATTATTTCTAACACAAAGGATAAATGCTTGAGGGGATGGATACCCCATTTTACACGTTGCGATTATTATGCATTGCATGCCTGTATCAAAGTATCTCATGTATCTCATTAAATATATAGACCTGTTTACCCACAAAAATTAAATATTTTAAAGAACCATATTTCAGTAAACAATAAAAAATCTCAAAATCTCTAAAAATGAAATAATGACCAAAATCAGTAGAGAATATCATTTAAAATCTTAGGTTTTATAACTGCATGTGTTCAATATAAATGGAAAGCAGAAGAAAATATTACTCATTAAAAAAATACAAAAGTCACTTGAGCATCTACTTTGTGCCACATAGGCTATATTCAAAGACTAATAGACTAATAGATTATTTCTCAACAGTAGCAATGAAAGCCAGAAGACAGTGGTGAAAGAGTATCTTCAATGTGCTGTAAAGAAACAGCTGCCAGCCCAAAATATTTTTTAAAGATAAAAGTAAAATAATCACATTTTTCAGACAGACCAAAAAAAAAAAAAATAGTTCACTACCAGCAGATCCATCAAAAGAAATACTAAAGCGCACACTTAAGGCAAAAGGAAAACAATCCCAAATGGAAGGTCTAAGATACAAGAGGGAAAAAAATAAATGGATTAGAAATACATTTTAGAAGAAAAATCTATGGGCTTTGTAATAAATTTGATGTAGGGAGGTTGAAAAAGAGGATAGTGTCAAAGAATACCAAATTTGGCATGAAGAACTGGATAAAGGTACCATTAAAACAAAAAAGGCTAATAAGAAAAGTGGAGAAAATCAGCAGTTCAACGTGGAACAAGTATGAGATGCCTATGGCTTATCAAAATGGGATAGAAGTAGACAGGTATATAAGTCTAAAGCTCAAAAGAAAGTTCTGGACTAGAGTTATAAATCTGGCAGTCACAGACACATAGATAGCATATAGATCTATATAAGTTGATGAGTTCAACTAGGGAGAGAGCTTTGAGCAAAGGGTCCAAACCCATGGCTCTCAAAGATCAAGAAATGAGAAGTCAACAAGGAGGCTGAAGATTACACATAAAGGTAGGAAAACATAGAAGGTGTGGCATCATGAAATCAAAGGAATTTCAAGGCGAAAATAATGCTGTCACTATTGCTGAGATGTCAGAACTAAGATGAGGACAGAAGTACCTGATGGATTTGGTAACCTGGCAGCTGTTGTCATGAGTGTCCCAATTAGGATTTTCTACTCCAGTGCATTTTAAAAGGAACTCTTACCAGCTAATTAAAGCAGTAAAAGAAACACTTCATGGCACTATTCTTTAAAAGAAAAAAAGAGAGTCAATTTCTAAAATGTGTTACATATTGAATGTCATTGAAGCAGTCTATACTTAGTCACATCCCTAGCCTTTGGCAGGTTAATAATTCCCAGAATGATAAATATTTGTATAGAATTTAAAAGTTAAAAACTGCTTTTGTATAAAAACTTATTTGAGTTTTCCACAGAGGATTTTTTTTTTTTTTTTTTTTACATGCAATAAAATACAAAGTTCCAGCAGAATTGCCCAGTTTGTGCAGGATCAAACAGGTTGGAAACTGTAGAGCTGACACTTGAAAATAGGTTTATGGCTCCATATATCATACTTTTTCAGGGACACCAAATGCTGTTTTCACAAACATACCTTGCTTGAATAAGACAACCTTTTCCAATAACTGTTGCATCTGTTGGGAGGTCTATAGTTGTAAACAGAACATCAGGAACTTTTTGTTTCCTGCAGTTATAGCAATATGTGAGATGAGCTGGAAATGGCATATTCAGTTCATCATATGGTATATGGCAAAACCCACAACGTGTAGACAAATTTTCTTCAAGCCTATATAAATAGATTAAGAAAAAAAAGACATTCTTTAAAAACATACAAATTTTTTCAAAAATAATTATGTAAGTGATATTACATACACAGTACTTGTATACGAACTATCCAACTTCTACCACTGTAGGCTACAAGAGTACCACTATGACTGATAAGAATTAAAAACGACCATAAAATCAGAACCATGCATTTGTCCTATGAGAGAAAAGACTTACCAACTGCAAAGTTATTTTGCACCAATTTATTTGTGTGATGACTTATCACCTGACAAACACCCCTATCACCTCAAAGTTTTTTCTCTGGGATACAACATTTAAAAAAAAAAATGGTTAGATGATGATGATGACATTTTCCCACTGGTTGACAAATATAACCACAAAAAAATTCCCAAAGAAAAAAAATATTTTGGTTACCAGAGGCTGGGAAGGGTAGTGGCAGGCTGGAGGGAAGGTGGGGATGGCTAATGGGTACAAAAAAAATAGAAAGAATGAATAAGACCTAGCGTTTGATAGCACAACAGGGTGACTATAATCAATAATTTAATTGTATATTTTCATGTACCCTATAAATATATACCAGCTACTAGGTACCCCCAAAAATTGAAAAACAAAATCCAAGCATAATAGTTTTTAATTTAATGTAAAAAGTATTAAAAAAGAAAAATAGTAAGTCAAAAATAGGCATACTCTAAGATTTCTAATTTCCTGTGATAGTTTTAACTTTTTTGAAAAACCAAAACATCTATTTCATAAATGATATACATAAACCACAAATGAACCATCCACAGCCTCCCCACTCATTATAAAATGCTTGTCATATTATGCTGTTTGTGAGTTCATTCTAAAATGATTAAGCATTTTTTTCGTTCATTAAATTTGAGCATGTCGGTACAATAAGGATGGAAACAGAGAGAAGCTCCACAAAAAGACTCCACACTTTCACACAACCAGATCCTCCAGAGCTCTGGAAAGATGTGGGTCTCAATGCTCCCTAACTTAAAGGAACCCATTAGAAGCTGAAACTTGGCAACCAGACAGATTTAAAAAGTAAAGGAAAATTCATATTATATATACCAGGAAACAAGACTTTTGCAGATTTTTTACATACTTTTTTTTTTTTTTTGGATACAGGGTGTTGCTGTCACCCAGGCTGGAGTGTGGTGGTGGTACAATCATAGTTCACTGTAGCCTTCAACTCCTGGGCTCAAGTGATCCTCCTACTTTGGCCTCCCAAGTAGCTAGGACTACAGAATTTTTAACTGAATCTTCATAACTCTCTAACTCACATTAAATTACTCCCAGATATTATTCTTTTACTGTGAAGATGCCATTCTGGTATATTACAACTAACAGAGAAGTCAGACATCTGAACCGAACTGTGTGATCCTGAACAAGAAAATTACTTAACCTCTCAGAAACTCCTTTATAAAACTAGAATATGTACCTAGAGAAGTTTGTGGGTTTCTTTAGAGATTAAATAAGAAAACTATAGCTAAACACAGTATAATGTTCACCATATAGCAGCAAATAGTAGTTCCACTTAGCCTGAAACCAACCTGAGATAACTTGCTAAGTCACACTAAGCACTAAGTAGCAGGCCTCATGTTTGAATTTCAGTTTGTTTGAATCCAAAGCCCATGTGTTATAAGGGGGTATAAAAGGATGAAAACTGAAGCAATTTTTAACTAAACGGCTCACACAAATGTCAACATTAGTGGTATATATAAGGCATAAAAATAAAAGTATTAAAATTTATGAAAGCATTCAAAATATGAAATGTACACAGGGATTGTCCCTGAATAGTGAGATCATAAGGAATCTTTTTTTCCTTCTACTCTCCTACATTCTCTAAATTTTTTCTAATAAGCAACAATAATTTCATAGCAGAAAGAAAAGATATTTTCCTTCTTTTTTCTTTTTTTTTTTTTTTTACAACTAGAGGTGGCACCTATTGTACTGAACTACCATATAAGAGAATGTACTGTATCCATCCAAGCCACAATACAGAAAAAAAACAAGCTACATGAAAAAGGTTACTTGTTAAATTAGGCTTCCTATCAACTTAAGAATGAAATCTACAGACATGTAAGAACTATATCATACCACTGGTACAACTCGCTGACAAAGAGAGTTTCTCAACACAACATTCTAATTATTTAGTGTGCTTCAAAATGCCCCGCCTTCACTTTCCTATTTACAATGACCTTTAAGGCTCTGGAATTTATAATAGTCAATATCCATTTTAATACGGACCAAAGAAACTGACCAAGTTCCTCTAGTGAATACCAGAACTAGAATATCTTAAATGCTTGCAAGTTTATACTAAATTTGACAAGGTACAGAATTTTTTTTGCCTTTTTTTTTTTTTTCTTTTTAAGATGGGGTCTCGCTCTGTTGCCCAGGTTAGAGAACAGGGGTGCCATCTTGGCTCACTGCAACCTCCGCCTCCCAGGCTCAAGCAATCAATTCTCCTGCCTCAGCCTCCGGAGTATCTGGGATTACAGGCGCCCGCCATCATGCCAGGCTAATTTTTGTATTTTTAGTGAAGATGAGGTTTCACCACGTTGGCCAGGCTGGTCTCAAACTCCTGACCTCAAGTGATCCAACCACCTCAGCCTCCCAAAGTGCTGGGAATACAAGCGTCAGCCACCACACACTTGACCTTTGCTTCCTTTCTTAATATATGCTTAATATATTAATACTGGGCCGGGGGGGGAAGTAAATAGGCACACTGTGGCATAAGGGGTAATTAAAATCTGTATTATCCAGGTAGACTCTGGTAACAAACTAATAGTTTATATGTGTGTGTGTGTGTCTATATATATATATGTATATATATTTAAATATACAGTCACCCTTCCGTATCCATGGGTTTGGCATGTATGGATTCAACCAACCACAGGTTGAAATATTCAGGAAAAAAAATAAAAAATCCCACAAAATTCCAAAAAGCAAAAAATGAATTTGCCACATGCTGAGCATTACACTGAATCTATGAAAATGAAATGATGAACAGGTATTGTATCAGGTATTACAAATAATCTAGAGATTATTTAAAGTATAGGGGAGAATGTGCATAGGTTACATGCAAATACTATACCATTTTATATAAGGGATTTGAGCATCTGCAGGTTTTGATATCTGCAAGGGGTCCTGTAACCAATTCCCTATGGACAGGGAAGGACCATATATATTATATCTATAGATAATCTTGATAAAATACAGTACTTTTATTATTTTGTAAATTAAGAATTGTTTTTATAAAAATTGTTTCATAACCTCTGTTTTTGGAGGTGAGACACAGGGAAATGAAAGGAAGACAAAAATCAAAAGATTAGTTCTATATCATGATGAAGCAAAAAAAAATGTACACTTGAAATTCTTCAACTGGCAATCACACATGTCACTTATCAAGATACTAGAAACAATAATGTTTGCCATATAGTACAGAATCCAATACTCCTCTGTTACTATGGGTTAGTTAAAAATTAGTGAAGTGCTTGGTCCTGATTTCTACACTGTACCACTGTAAGCCACCCTACAGAGAAGAATTATACCAACTCTGAGAAAAAAAGTCAACCTCTCCCTTCTCTGCCCTTATGGAAAATAAGCCAGGCTGCCATGACAACCTCTGTTCCAAACAGCCTTCCACGGTGCCATCCTGCAGAAATCTAGGATTCAGTACAGCCGCTGTACCAGATGCAGATAAAATGCAGACCTCTTCACTATAAAGGAAAAAACACAAATAAGTTAACATTTTTCAGACAGTGTAACTTTGGAAAATGCTAACTATCAAAATAATTATAACAGTGACAATTTAAGTTCAAGTTAGACTCTACTAAATATTAATTAATATTTATGAGGTTTAACTCCTAAACCTAGCCTAGAAAACAGAGGTAACTTTATTTGAATGGAGGACAAGAATTCTTCATAAATTAAAAATTGAAATAAAGTATTAATATTAAAGACAGTAACTTCATTTAAAATATGGCAAGACTGAAAGAATGAAATGTTTCAAAATATATAAGCAGTAATAAATTATATTGCTGAATCTAGCATGAATCAAATTATATTAAAATATTCTTTAAATGTATATGAAGTTTTATTAAAATTATTCTAAAAGCACAACTATTTAAATATCTCTATATAGGTGATTTATATAGCTTAATCTAAATTTAAATCATTATAAAGGTTTCTGAAACAATACATAAAATATACTAAATGAAGCTTAAACTATATCACCATATAACAGAAAACTGATATTCAAAATAATTTTTAAATTCTTTATATGTCACCCAATTTGAAAGCTAAAAAATTAAACAATCAACATAATTATTGAATGAGATAACCTAAACAAATGAGAAAAGTAGCAACCTAGGGATGAACTGCTGAAAACCAGGTATAAATAAAACAGAAGCCTAAGAGAACAGGGAAGGAACAGTCACTTGAACTGTAAATAAACAAAGGGAGACCAGGCTTAAAGCGTAGGTAGGAATTAAGGATGTCAGAAGGAATAACATGAAACCACTGATGCCTTCAAATCAAGAAGTTGTAAGAGCAGAAGTGCATTTCAGAGAGTTTAATCCAGTAACAGAAAGTAGCATGGGCTGGAACAGAAAAGATTAGTAAAAATTTAAATACATAGATGTTTTTGAGGTCTAGAAAGGAAAAAAAGCTTCTGTCAGATGTACTCAAACTTCTAAGTAAATTAACTGAACTCATTTGCAGACTCCTCCAACTGTGACCTATCTTCAGCCATCCTGAGTCTACATTCTGTGGCCTTCTTTTTTTTGCTACTCTTTTAAGCGTCGAATGCATCTTATAAGCTTTGAAACCTCTCCCTATGCCTTTTCTTTTTATTTATATAATTCATATTCATCCCCCAAAATCCAACTCAAGCATCAGTTACTTCATTGACACTTTCTTCCAATTCTACTTCAAGCTTTCAGCCCTCTAGGATCCCAAAGCATCTATATCTCAATTTTAAAATTTATTTTACATCATAATTATCCAGTAGAATGTAAATCTGATACCAAGAACTATGTCTCCTTTATAAAACCATATCTCTGGTTGGGTATGGTGGCTTACGCCTGTAATCTCAGCACTGTGGGAGGCCGCAGCGGGCAGATCATGAGGTCAGGAGTTTGAGACCAGCCTGGCCAACATGGTGAAACCCCATCCGTACTAAAAATACAAAAATTAGCCAGACATGGTGGCAGGCAGCTGTAATCCCAGCTACTAAGGAGGCTGAGGTGGGAGAATCACTTGAACCCGGGAGGCGGAGGTTGCAGTGAGCCGAAATCACACCATTGTACTCCAGCCTGAGTGAAAGAGTGAAACTCTGTCTCAAAAACAAACAAACAAAAAAATCATTTATCTGAGGCTTGAAAGTTTATGACATTAAATCCATCAATGCGGCAAGACAACCAGGGAGTAAGGCAAGATAAGCACGACAAAGTTAGTAGTTAACAAGAGTAGAACAGCTACTATGGGAATAAACAGTCCAGGAGTATAACACATGATCTGCAAAGGAAAAGAAAAGCCCACAGAAGATTAAATAATATGGCTCTGTAATGCCCACATTTACTACAGTTTAATCATTTTTCCCTAACAATAAGGATCACCACAAGAGCAGAGGATCTGACAGTAAGAATTATCTAAGAATAGATGGTAGAAAAATAAGATAGCAGAAGGTTAAACAGTTTCTAGATGATATCAATTGTAAACTTTTGAGGGGGCTGAAAGTAGGGTTCAAGGATGGCAAAAGAACAAGAAAAGCCAGAACCTAAGTAAGGGGCTGAGAAAACAATTGGTTAAGGTAAGGTTCAAAGCAAACTAGATATAAAAGAGCAAATGATACTGGTAGAAAAACGTTAAGTTGTGATCTGAGAGTAAAATTTTATAGTTTCAAAATTTTAAGGAGGAACAGTATCAAGTGATACTGAGGTCCAAAATATGGTTGAAAGTTAAGTGGGGTCAGAGGACTTGAGAATAAGAAACTATAATGCCAGCTGCTAGAATGAACATAATCATGTGTAACTGGAAGAGAGAACAGAGAAGTAACTAAGATAGGCAAAAGAATGCTTTGGAAGTAGATAATGGAACAGTAGAGTGGCATGTACTTTAAAGAAGGAGATTGTTCAAATGAAGGGAAGGAGAAAAAGGAATTGAGAACCAAGAGTATGAAAGCCCCTCCCTAATTTGTCAGTATTAGGAAGAATGATTTGTTAGCAGGAGAAAGTTACATTACAGTAGGTAAAAGAAGGCAGAATGAGTTTGTGGACAAACTTTAAAGGCACATGGCAATTCATTTACAGTAGATTAAGGGTTCCAAAGGTTCCAGTGAAAGAAGTTAATACAGTTACACAGTAGAATAAAGGAAGCCTAGAGTTAATATTTGCTATGTGCCAGTATTATATTCTCATTTAATATTGATTTAAACAATTAATTGATGTGTGGTATTATCTCCATTTTAATGTACAAACTGAGGCTCAGAAGAGTTAAATAACTTTCTCATAATTACACAGTCACTAACTGGCAAAGACGGCATACGAACCTTAATCTAATGTACTCCAAGGCCCATGCTCCTGACCACTTCGCTATTCTCTTTTCTTTTATTTGCATAAAGCTTTTCCCCTTTCAGATGGCAGTCTAAATTAGTGTCTAGAAAATCAAGTTGTTATTATCATTTACCAGATGCTAGTTGATTCACTGTAGCCCACTACAGCATGACAGCCTAATGCTTTAGCATGTGATTTTATTTCTTGTCTGATTTCTGCCCACCATGCATCTCGAGTTTCTGGTTCATCTGAAAAATAAATTTTAAATCAGTTTATTACTCAACAGCACATTATCTATATGAACATGAAATGTTTAAAATAAACATACTATGGGAAGTAAAGAAGTATTATTCTATAATGGCTTTTTAAACTTCCCATCTTTAAAATGTTACTTCTCAAAAGGCATAAGATTTAACATTTTAAACTCGATTGCTGGAAAACAAACCACCTATCTGCATTTGCTTTATTACTTTACGAGATAACTAAAGGAATATATGATTAGATATAATTTTAAATGTAGACCCAGAGTTTCCAAATTCTTATCTTAGCTATGGTTAGAATTTTAGAATTAGACTAAGAGGATATCCTACATCTCACCTCACTGAGTGAACACCTTATGTGTTATATCCATAAATTTAACTTAAATTCTGATTTCATTTCTTGGTACCTATTTTTTATAACTCACTATATTGTGGATTCTTTCCAAGGCAAAGATTTGTCAATGTTAAAAGAGAGAAAGCCATCTGTAAGCCATCCTTCTATAGAGATGTGGGTCTTCAGGCAAAATACAAGAAATTAGAGACTAATTAAAAAAAAAAAAAAAAGAAAGCAAACACACTTAAAAAATTAATTCAAATACTTTGGTAATGTATATAAGGAAAAATTTCAGATATAACACTCCATGTATTGGTCTGTAATTTTTAAAAATGATTTAGAATCACAGAATTGTCTTTTATTACCAAAGAGAAGTCCAATATTATTTGTAATGGAGCACTGTAAGTGGAGCATCTGTCATACATATTTCCTAATCACTTGCATTTAGCTGCGAACGACTGGTGACAGCAGCTGCAAATTATAGTAGCTTTTCATGTACAACGTGTTAAAAACAGAAAGTCTATAATTAGTATATCATAATTTATTTCTTTTTGTGGCCAATTCTCATTTGGGAACAACTTGAGATAGAAAAAAAAAATCAACTCTAAATAGAATGCTAAGCTCTCATCGTAAATTTTCCATTTAAAGACACTAATAAATCTAAAAACCAAAAAATCCAAAGTTTCTATTTTTGAATTGCAGTATATATCTGATTTTCAAAATATGTTTTTCAAAATTAGTAGAATAAGTAGAATTATACTCACTAGTAAAATAGTGAAGACAGCAAAGTAAAGAAAGGTTAAGAGGCGTGTTATAGCTCACATTCCTATGATGAAATTTTTGTTTCCTCCACAGGGAGGAGGATCAGCAAAAGGGAGAATTAAGGAGATAAAAGCCAGAACTACAAATGATGCCAGCCAGTTCTTGAATTAAAGTTTTGGTTCCAAGACAAAGCTACCTTAAAACTTTCTTTCAGAAGAAAGAAATGCAGAATTCAGGAAACTGAGAAAAACATCAAAGTACAAGATAAAATAAGGACGAGAAATAGAAAAGACTACAATATGGTATTAGCAATCAATGTTATAAATTAAGAAATGTGTGAACAATTAAGTGAACCTATTTTACACAAATACTACTTGTGTTAAAGAATTTCTTCATATTCCCAAATGAAGTATATATATTAACAGCAAAAATACACTTTCAAATCCATACTCTCTTTTTCTTCTAAGACATACACACTTACGGACCAATCTGAACATCCATTTAATATCACCCTTTCCTAAAAGAGAATTTTTGTATCATAAGATGAACTATTATTCAAGTGGTTGCTCTAATCTATTAAATTACCTATGATTCTGAGAAAATACTTATCACAAATAACTATAGAAATGTATCTCAGTTTAGAAAATACCTATTTCCCCAAAAAATTGCATGAAATAGAAAGTCTAACTTTTCATAAGCTCACTAATAAAACCTACTTACTTTTTAAACCATTCTAGAAGTTTACAACATTATTTTCTAAAGCAAATAATTATGTACTATGTTTTTATAAGAATAGATTTTTCTCACATTAGGTTTGCCTACATCTGTACCACAAGTAATACATGGTAGCTTTACCGTTTTAAAAATGAACTTTACAGAAAGTAATCCATAAACAGTATTTTAAAAATTAATAAAAAATGGAGAAAGCTACTTAAGTTCTACATATATTTATTTTTAAAAGGCCAGCATGTCTAAGTGGGAAAGTATATTATAACAATTCCTACGAGATATCACATAAAATACAAAGTTCATTTACATTAAACTTACCTTAGTATAACACATAAAATAATCAAATAATTAAACCAAACACTATGAAAGAATAAATGGCTGATTCAAAAAACAAACAAACAAAAAAAAAGCTGAATGCAGCACAAGTGGAGCATTCATATTCTTCTGACAAATTCACAAGCAGCCTTTATTTTAACACATGAGCCACACAATTGCACATGGGGATGCCATTATTGTATTTAATAAAGTATTTACAAGTTTAATACAAAGCTAAACAGTTACATAACATGGGAGCTAAGGAAGCAAATGGCATATGTCCACACTCCAGAAAACTTGTTAAATTTGGTTTTTGGCTAAAGCAAAAGCTCAAAGAACGAAGGGTTTGCAAAGCAGATTCAGCATACAGGAGCCAGAAACAGTGGATATTTTGGCGCATGCTTGGATCAGGTGACAGTACAGACTGAAAACTATGGCAGCTCACTGAAATGGTTACAGAAAGTAATGGCCCTAAATTCTAGGTGAAAGCAAGGCAAGCATACAGTAGGGAGCACTTAATCACAAACTGGTAATTATACTAACAATTATCTACAACTGTAAGCAAGAGACTAAAGGAAAAATTTTTGGCTACTAAATTTAGGGGGCGTTTAATTAAAACAAAATTAAGATTAATTTGTTTAACAGTAAAGAAAAGTTAAATTTATCATCAAAGCTTATTTTATACTCATGCCAGACATGAGCTAGAGAATCTTCAAGTAGTAATTATGATTCCGCCTATTCTATTACCAATAAAAATTCAGAGATATCACAGCATTTAATCCCTACAATAGAATGTTTAAGGTTTAAAAACTGGTAGCTACAGTCTTACAGGAATGTATTGTGTTTTCCTATAAGAAATACACTAATGAATTTGAATTATCTTATTCACCCTACAAAACTACAAAATTGAGGATACTATACTAACATAAAAGCAAACATGTTTGAATCTGGCTTAAAATTTTGTGGCAACTATATATGCCACACATGAAATGATACTATTTAGTTATTTGAAGGATATACAGCTCAGATGTGAGGTCACATTTAATAAACATTTCAAAGAAGTTAAGAAACAAACCTCTTCACCCTAAACACCATGTTTCTTCTGCTAATCTACAGAATTATTTATAATTATAAAAGTTATTTTAGGAGAATTTAAAATTTAATTATATACAAATTAATATTTTTAACATATTTTTATACTCAAATTATATATTTTATACATATAAGTTTAATATACAAATTATATTTTATACTATTTATGTTTTTCTTCTATGGGTCAAAACTCTTTGTAGATAATATCACAAATCTTTTAATATATCCTTTTAATTACAGGCATGAACTGAGCCCTAAATCAATCCTCACTGATGTCTCTTTTAGGGGTAATGTCAGCACACTTAGGTTGATATCAGAATTCATTCATTTTTACTATGTTACATTCCTAGAGCATGGCCACAGCTCGATATCTTGCCATCTTTTTAACACTTTGTTTCTGAAGTACAGGTGAAACTGGTAAAATTCTAAAACGGCAGTTTATATCTCAGAAAATAACAATGTGAACAACTCAACATGATATGCCCTTATCTCAACCTCTTTGAGATTTTAGGCAATCACACAACTGGCAACTAAGAAACACCAACTACCTGAAATGTTAAGTTCAGTCCATTTTTATATAGCTCTGGAAGAGAATAACTCTGCCTTGCAGATTCTTTTAATATGGTTAAAAGAAAAAAGAAATTATTCTAATGTTTTAAAGCAGATTCACTATAGTTAACAACACTGTACTGTACATTTCAAAACAGCTATAAGAAAGAACTTGAAATGTTCCCAACACTTAGAAATGATAAATACTCAAGGTGATGGATACTCCACATACCCTGATTTGATCATTATTTATTCTATGCATGTAACAAAATAAAACATGTACCCCATAAATAAAACAAATATTATGTATCAATAAAAAATTATTTTAAAAATGGACAGTTATTCAATCTAATTTATAAATCAACAAAAGGAGATAAAATGTTAGGTTGGATCAAATAAAGGTTAACACAATGATAATCTATCATGTTAACGGACAGTATAAAAAGCTGTATTCCCAAATACCTGAAAGTAACATTCCAACTGCTAACCTCTTGAAGAAGATAAATTTCCCCTAATGAAAAAGAAATTAGAGAGTTCAGGTTCAAAGGAGTATATAACCTCAAACTGGGTGGGGATCAGTAGACTAGGAAGAAGATTCTCATTATAGAGGAAGTCATGTGCAAATACAGAGCAAACATCAAGATGTAGTCACTTGGGATGTTAGGAGGAAACTAAGATATAATCCATGTTGGACCAAACTGGAGTCTTTACTATCTGTAAATTTAGAAAGTCAAATGTGTAGTCTACTCCATAATTGTGAAATTTCACTACACACATGCACGCACACACACACACACACACACAATGTAACTGGATTTTCATTATTCTAAAGTTACTGGTAATACAGAAAAGCTCACATGTCACACATACTATATTTATGCTATCTTGCATCTTGAACTTATTTATCTACTTCCTGAAAACCTTATTAAAATACTGAAAACCAAAAGCTGTATAACTACTTTAGGTATACTTTGTACATCTGCTTATAAGTATCTCAGAGAAAATGATAATTGCTGAGATTATCAGTAGAATTAAAGTTCCAAGACAGCCTACCACCTATCTCCTTTAACCAATACACACATATGCACACACCAAATAGTGTAAGAATTACCCTAGACTGGGTGTGGACAGGATGCCTGCCTGGCTTAACAATTTTGTTCCCAGTACCCAACACACTGTTCAACACATGGTAGGCACTCCACAAACATCTACCGAAGAAAAACTTAACTGAATTGAAACTTAAAAAAAAAAAATTCATTCAGATGAGCAGATATTTACATTCTGTAAATATATCCTTATATAATCAGCTGACTCACACTTTGTTACCATTAAATATTTTGTAAAGTAATTATCATACTTATTTTTATAGGACATAACTACTCACTTTTGCTCCTAAAATAAATTTTCTAAACAACTATAATTCTGATGGCTAACAAAAAAGACTAATATGTTCTAATTTTGAACCATTAATCCAAAGCTTGCCTTATCACTAGTAGAAGTTTATGAATGAGAAAAACTTAAGTATAATATGTCCTAAGATCTATAATCTGTCTAAAATAAAATCTGTTTAAAACCCTTTTAAAAATATTCTCAAAAACAAACAAAAGGCTATCTAGTGTTAAACAACTTGTTTTACTAACTCAGGACTTAAAATATCAACTCACAAATTTTGTCTATATCCGGAAACTATCTCCAACTAATATATAATTACATTTTGATACCACACTATATAACTACTTTACTTCTTCTTGACACTTCTTAAAAAAAAAAAATCTAAGCTGACATGCAATCTCCACAGAGGAAAAAATAGCAAATTATCCACAACTATCAAGATTATCACTGATTTAAAAATTATGTATGTTAGCTACTCAAAAATACTTCTAGTGGTAACTCAACGGAAAAAAATAAAAGATCATACTCATTTGAAAACTGAGTTAGGACTATTAAAACTTGCTCTGTAAACATTTTCCCATCTCAACGCTCAAATAAACTTGAGTTTCCAAAGGGCAGCACCCAATTGCTATGTATAATTTTAGAGCTGTAGTTATGTGGGATAATTCCCCTTTCTTTCTTTTGTATTGAAAGCAGACAAGAGCCTGCTTCATTTGCCACATTTCACTAGTTACTAGGTCCTGCTATTATTATACTCAAAATATCTCATTAATCTATAGTTAAGAGTATAGGTTCTGAAGCCAGAGTACGCAAGTACAAACTGTGACTCAACCACTTTCTAACTATTCACCTTTGGAAAACTACTATTTCACTTTGGTCACCTACAAAACAGGATTAGTCCCGACCTCAGAGATCTGTTTTGAGGATTAAATGGCCTACTATTACAAAACACTTAAAAGACTACGTGGCACATAATAAGTTATTGATCAATGTAGCTCTCCTATCACCACCAAAACCTAGGTTACCTATTTAGCCAAGGTTACCACACAGTCTACTAATTGGTCTCCCTGTCTATAGTCTTATTGCCTTTAAGCCCATTCTCCACCCTATAGTCAATGATCGAATGCAAATGTGAGCATAGGCTACCCTTATTCTTACACACTTCCAATCCTAGAATGTCACACATAAGATCTGTAATGTAAATGCTGCATTCTGCTTCCTAGCAGCAACACTCACCTGCCTGGCCTTTCTCAAAGTCTGTTACCAAGCCAGAAACATAAGCAGCATGGTAAGTAAAGGTAACATTTTTAAAATAAATTCTAATATTGAGTTCCCTTCTTCCTGCTCTATAAAAACATTTCTAGGGCTGGGTGTGGTGGCTCATGCCTGTAATCCCCACACTGGGAGGCTGAGGCAGACGGATCACTTGAGGTCAGAAGTTTGAGATCAGCCTGGCCAACATGGTGAAACCCCGTGTCTACCAAAAAATAATTAGCTGGGCATGGTGGCACACACCTGTAATTCCAGCTACTTGGGAGGCTGAGGCACGAAAATCACTTGAACTTGGGAGGCGGAGGTTGCAGTGAGCTGAGATCACGCCACTGAACTCCAGGCGATAGAGCAAGACTTCATCTCCAAAAAAAAAAAAAAATTCTAACACTGTAGTTAACATAAACTATGGTAGCAAAGCAGGAGAAAAGGAGACAGAAAAAAAAAGCTAAACTAACCAAGATATTTTGTACTCCATGGTAAGCAACCTAGTAAGCATGAACTAACTATGTAAACATCATCAAATGAGTACTGGCTAGGACATTGTTTTGCAAATGCTAGAAGTTTCAGAACCACACTCAAAGTATATATAAACATGGGTACCGAAATATAAATCTATGTGATTCTTCCATCTATCCTTCAAATCTGAGCTCAAGAATTACAACTTCTGTAAGTTTCCCTCATACAGAGTTAATCAAGCCTTCTTCTTTAACCTTTATATTGTATCACACCATACTACACAGTAAATTATTTAATGTTTTTCTATCCTCCAAGAATATGAGCTTCATGAAGGCAGAGGGACTGGCAATCTTTCCACCCTAACACCTAGCAAATTGCATGGCACAAAATAAATTCTGATATAAGCTTGCATGACCTGTCATATTTTATACAACATTACTGTATAATAATCTTCCTGTATCTTTCCATATTTTAATGTTTCTGAAATAAGAATGTCTAATAATTAATTATATTTAATATGGTGGTGTATATTTTCTCTTGGAAGGCTGTTATTAAAATGATGATGCTTCATGTAATACATGGTACAAAGAAGCCGGGAAATACAGTGTGAATGAGCAATTCTAGCCCTAATAAAAATGGTATCAACAATTCTTTTCCTACCACGGTTAGTTCTTGATTTTCTACATAGGAGAGCAATGGCTAAATATTCTCAAATTACAGAGAAGAATACATAAATGATTTGCATATATTTACCTATATCAAATTTTTCTTCAGAATTATCAAGTTATTTTTCCTAAACGAGTATGAAAATCAGTTGTTTCTGAATATATACTAGGTCTTACCAGAAAGATTCTAATTAATCAGAAGCATACTACGAGGTGTCATCATTTATGTTCTTTTAACATTCTATAACTTATATCCACCTTTTTTCTTCATATACTTTCTACCTGACATTATTTTGAAGTGATGGCAAGATATACTGCTTCCTCAACCATGTTTCTCTTTGCCAAACCATAATTCTGCTTTTGTGGGACAATGTCCTTACTATGTCTATAAGATTTAATTATTGCCATTTCCATTTCCAAGATTGTTCTATGATTTGACCAACACACATCTCATTCTAAACATCTTTGCCCTGACAAGATTTCAGTTCCCTACATTATTAATGATGAATATGCTCTCAATGTCCTTTTTCTATATATCTTTCCACTATACTAATCTGCCTATGTTTTAAAAGTTCTTATTTTTAAGAAATTAACCTAGCAAGGTATTTTTCAATTTCTCACTAAAAACCAATTATAAAATATTACACTAACAAATGATCATTTTAATTCTAATCAGTGACAGTATGCTGGTAAAAACTTGGATAGGAAATTTCCCTACGGATTATCGATTGATATCAATCCGCATCTGTAAATGTTGGACTTATCATATGGTTTACCAGACTGAATTTAGGTAAATCTACATGATGAATATGATTTACTTCATAGTCAAACGTGCATTACTTACATCAAAACTTATATCTTGAACTCCTAAGAACAAAAAAAGTTTACAATATAGAAAAGATTCTGAGATATTATCTAAAATTCTGAGCCCCTTGATGCTTTGCTTATCTGTAAGATATACTTTCTGAGACAAATAACTGAAAAGTTTCTTTAGGCAACATACCAGCTTCTGACTGAATCAAAATGGTTGTATTATTTCATTCTAAAAAATATAATATAAACAATTAGAAATGTACATTATTATGTTTTTATCAAAAAGAAAAATTGCTTTTAACTCTAAAACACATCATCAGCTGTAAAACTTGCTATCTTAGTCTGGTTTATTTAAAAGCTACAAACTACATTCATATGTAAAATTACTTTTTAAAAATTATATTCACATGTGGAAAGGGAAGGAGGAAAGTTTAAGAAAGCTGTTAATCCCCCAAGTCTGTTCTTAGTTATCTATTTTGGAACACTTCTAGAATTATAAATAAAAATGCTAACAGTTACACTTTTACAGTATCCTACAGAACACTAAATATATTCTATTCAAATCTAAATGTGCATTTAAATATACTTTATTTTTAATTTATGAAACATTAAATACTTATATTTAACAAACACTTGCTTAATCTTAAAGCTAAAGCCTACATCATTTACCTGATATAGAAAACCATCCAAAACGTAATAAATATAATTTTAAATGATCATTCTGAAGTTAATTACCTAAGAAAAGTCATTGATAATTTATAGTATTTCTATGGCTTTCATTAATTCATTTTAGTTAACACATTTTTATATTTGCATTTCCACTGAAATTACAAGAGTTATTACATACGTAGCACAGAATATATCTGTATAACTGAATTGACCTTAAACTTACTTCATCTAGAACATTTCTAAAAACTTCACTGAGCTGCCATAATTTTTGTCAGCATATGTAGTACTGAATGACCATTAAAATACCTGAATTGAAACTATTCCAGTCTAGCAGTTTGTAAGATCTTGTGTTACCCATAATTCCGACAAAGGCTGAGTTCAAAACAGCAAATTAGTAGATCAGTTTTAGGTGCAGAATAGTAGGAATAAAACAAAAAACACTACAAACAAGAACGCAATTGACAACACCACTCGACAGGAACTGGAAAGACACAGACAGCAGAGTTAATAAGAACTAGAAATAGAAAAGGGGAAAGGAGCATGCTATAGTAATCTAACATTAACTAATCTAATTATTGAATTACCTTGATTTTTAAAACCACCCCATTCTTTCCCTTGTTGCAGTCACCTGTTTGCTCAAAATTTACCAAAGGAGGATGTTCTTTAAAAAAGCCTCCAAAATAAAAATCCATAGTTAGCAGGTGGTAGTGGTTTTAAAATAAGATTTTTTCCCTTCTATAGTGAGAATGAAACAAAAATTTCCCATATTCACTAGTCAAAAAATAGCTGCAAAATTCATTTGAGAATGCAAACACAGCATTTTTAACATTAGCACATGCATCTCAATCCATCGTAAGTTTCTCTCAGCAGAGTAACTGTCACAAAATTAAAACATCATCATTATGGTAGATGTTAATCTAGAGTTTTGTTTTGTTTCAACATTCAGCTTTTCTTCAATATATTAAAATTTCTTCATAAATAATTACTTAAAAGGTCTGGAGATTAGTAAATGTTCTTAAGAAAATGTTCCTTTTTAGTGTATAATAATACATAAAACAATCCAAAGAATGTGTCATTTTATTTTTTGAGATGGAGTCTCCCTCTGTCACCTACGCTGGAGTGCAGTGGCATGATCTCGGCTTACTGCAACCTCCATCTCTAGGGTTCAAGTGATCCTGCTGCCTCAGCCTCCCAAGTATTTAGGACCACAGACGTGTGCTACCACGCCCAGATAATTTTTGTATTTTTGGTAGAGAGAGGGTTTCACCATGCTGCCCAGGCTGGTCTCAAATTCCCGAGCTCAAGCGATCTGCCCGCCTTGGCCTCCCAAAATGCTGGGATTACAGGTGTAAGTGACCGTGCCCAGTCAGAATGTGATACTTTAAATCAAAATAATATAATATTGGAACCATTAGAATAATCACATGTATTTAACTAAAAATAAACCAAAATGAAAATGTAACTCATACACCATTTGAAAGCACTTATATGTATATGTCCATGACCTTTTGGGAAATAATCCATTAATAACTGAGAATTTCTACATGTGAGCTGAAAAAATACTCTAAACTGGGAGGAAAGGCAGAGAATGGGTGAGCTGGTAGTTACAATACCCAAAAGACATTCTGTAATAAGAATTACTCTTTTCTTCCCTGGGCCTGGATTCTTACATTTCTTGCACAGTTAGCATGAACTGGCAGGTAAAATAAATCCCAAAATGCAGTTAGTTTTTTTTTTTTTTAAGTAGTGACACTTTAAATACAGCTCTCTACTTAAACTTATTTAAGTAAACTTCACTTGTTCTCCCAGACTCTATAGCTTACTCAGAGTACATGGAAGCAAGAAAATAAGAATATAAAATCAAAATGTTTTTCTTTTTCTTTTTTTTTTTTTTTTGAGACAGAGTCTCATTCTGTCGCTCAGGCTGGAGTGCAGTGGCACGATCTCAGCTCACTGCAACCTCCACCTACCGGTTTCAAGCAATTCTCCTGTCTCAGACTCCCGAGTAGCTGGGACTACAGGCGCCTGCCACCAGGCCTGGCTAATTTTTGTATTTTTAGTAGAGACAGGGTTTCACCTTGTTGGTCAGGTTGGTCTCAAAACTCCTGACCTCAAGTGATCCACCCGCCTCAAAGTGGCTTCCCAAAGTGTTGGGATTACAGGCGTGAGCCACTGCATCCAGCCCAAAATGTTTTTCAGTAAGCAGAAGATATCCAGTAATTAAATATATTCCTGAAACCATGTTTCGAACTATTAGATCAGTGGGTGCCATCTATTAAAATATTTGAGTCAATGGTCCATAGAAACACAGGTAACTGGCCTTGGGTCACAAGGTTGATGTCAGGTATGTTAACTCGGTACTTCCTTGCATTTTCCAAATAATTCAAGTTCCTTAACACAAAGATGTAGAATTTGGCATAGTCTTCAAGATCCCAATACATTAAACTGGCATCAGTCTGAATTTTTCTTTAAGTACTGTACACAAATACCACAATGGAGAAAACATTTTATATTGACCACAAAAATAAGAAACAGGGGAAAAAAAAACTAAAGAAGGGAAAAAAAAGAGAAAACCAGTGCTTAAAAGATGTATTTGCCCACTTTTAGAGTTAAATGATCCTGACTTGCACTGTTTTTCTGAAATCTCATTCAAGGTCCAGAGAATACTAGTCTTCTCTGAAATAAACTCAAATGACATCAAACTACAGGGCATAAACTTTAAAAAAAATTTTTAAAATAGTAATGCTCTGTATCCTCAAAAATAGTCATTATTTACAATGTTTTGGTCCAATAACTTCAAAGCATTTTACCCTTTTTTTTTTTCTTTTTTTTTTTTTTTTTTTTTTTTGAGACAGAGCTTTGCTCTTGTCGCCCAGGCTGGAGGGCAATGGCGCGATCTTGGCTCACTGCAACCTCCACCTCCCGGGTTCAAGCAATTCTCTGCCTCAGCTTCCTGAGTAGCTGGGATTACAGGCGCCTGCCACCATGCTCAGCCAATTTTTGTATTTTTAGTATTTTACAGGCATGAGCCACCGTGCCCGGCCACCCTTCTTTTTATAGCTGTCAATACAAGCCTCACAAAGAGGTCACTGGATGTGACAATTTAAAATTTTCAAAAATATATACGTCTATATGCCCAATAAGAATACTAATATAACTTCAGGTTTAATGTATGTTGATTGAGCATCTAGTCAATGAGAGATATAAGAACACATTCCATATGGAAAGTTCCCACTATTTATCATGCTTATTTTAGACACAGAAAAATCACCAGAGTATTTCTGATCCAAGGGCCTGAATCCAGTAGGACTTTGATGCCTACTTGCTTTTAATTATGTTCCTATGTTTTAAAGAAGTAACCTACTATTCTTACTTGTTTGCTCAAACAGAACAAATAGCTACATAAAAGAAACTGAGGGACCAGATGTTAGTTTGTCTGTCTGTTTTTCAATTCTTAGCTACTCTAGACAAAGTCTACAATTACTTTGTTGCCCATGCGGGATTCCACCACCAATGACACAGTGGAATCCCAGCACAGTGCTGGGATCTGGGTTCTATGTCTCCTAAATGCTGCCTGGGCAGGCTGGAGGGGACAGGTGGCCACGGTCGAAGACAGTCCCAGTGTGTTCAAGTTACACAATGAGCTCTAAGAAATGACAGCTCCAGTCGCCTGCTCAGGAAGAGGGTCTCTGACCCATGGACTCATCTGGTTCCCTCTGCTACTTATCTGTTCCTATGACACCCACAGTGCTTACACAGGTCTTGTTGTGTTGCCCAGGCTGTTGCCCAGGTCTGGCTATGTTGCCCTGGGCTCAAGTGATCCTCCTTGCCTCGGCCTCCTGAGTAGCTGGGACTACAGCCACATGTTACTGTGCCCAGCTTTACCATTACATTTTTAAAAATATCTGTTTTAAGAAAAATGAAAATAAGCAATCTATAAAGAGCTACTGCTAATGAAAAGAACTAACATCTTAAACTAATGGCCATAATGGTCAATTTATAAAAATGTTTATCTCCCCTGGGTCAAAGAAAAGTTATTTAAGGATTTCCTTAAAGTGATATTGTGACCAAAAATAAATTAAGATTTGTTTTTTACAGAAAAGTAACTAAAATACACTTAGTTTATTTATAATTAAGATCACTACAAATATATTAAAGTAACATGCTAGTTTATACTTTCTTTTCATTTCTCTTTTCAGATAGATTTGGCTTTAAAAAATCATGAAAATCAATTTTAATAACCACAATTTAAATAAAGGAAACATTGAAACTTTTTAAGAACATACCAGGATTGTGGATGCGATCCAAAAGCTTCACAGAACGTGCACTAACTACACCCCCAACGTGTACGAGGAATCCAGGAGGAAATGCCGTCAAGGTGAAAAATGGAAATTCCTAGTGGAAAGAATAGGGGAAAAATAAACTTACCGTGTGTAAAGTGTAAAAAATTTGCTGATTAAAAAGCTTGTCATAAGCAAATGTATTACATCCCTTGAAATAAAAGGCCACCCATTCTACATTACACATGCTTTGTAATTAAAAATTTTATTAAATGTTTAGAGTTTCAAATCCATTTCCCCATATATACAATGTTATACAGAATCCAAAGACCCATTTCGTCAGTTCTCAATGAGGAAAAAAAAAGTGTTCTTTCAATTTAAGATATTTAAAACATACTCTTCCTTCCTCTGAATCTCCAACTCTGATGGAACTTCTCAATGAGATGAGGGAACTGCCCTATCACTCTACCCCATTATCTATTTCTCAGTGGTATAGACACCCCCTTCACATGAACACCCAGTATAAGACACTGGTAAAGACTCTAAAAACCTGGGGCCAAGAGATCTAAATGAAAGTGGGACCAAGGGACGGTAAGTGAGAGGCTAAGCAGTGTGGGTTAAGAGAAAGACGATGGGGCAAATACCAAGTTGAGGTGGTTGAAGAATCATTGCCTGAGGTTACTCTATCAACACCAATGTGGCAGGAACAAATACAAGAGCATAAAGGTACATTAAGGAAAGGTGACAGGTACATAGATAACAGGAAGGCAATAAAACTCCACAAGTTCTTGCACGCTTTATTCTCTCCTTCTCTCTTAAAGACATAAAATTCATCAACTTCGCGACAAAAAGAAACACAAGAAAGAGAAATGAAAAAGCCGAGAAAGGAAATTCATTGAAATAGCACCCAATGAGAAAACAGAGCTCCTGTGGAAACATGGAGGCCCCTCACATTATACAAATTGGATGCAAGTAAGGATAACTTGATGTTTGACTTGTCTGGCTGCAAGATTAATGTAGCTCACTTAACTGGAATCACTTACCAGTAGCCTCAGCTATTTAGAATATAATTGAGCATAATTGAGAAAAATAAGCAAAACGGGGCTCTCAACAGTCAAAAGAACTGTTACCATCTCAAGCACTAAAGCTCATATACTTTATTCACAGGAGACTCCCACAGATCATATTCACACTCTATTATAGTAGTTATAAATTTTTATCTTAAGAACAAACAATTCTAAAATTTATCATGATCTTATTTTCAAGACCACCGCAGATTAAATGCAACAAATAAAAGTTGGTAAAGAGATACAGAATACCACCAGAAGCAGGCACATTAAAAGCAGCAAGAATTATTCACTGGCTGCTTCAAGCATGGAAAATACAAACTCACAAAAGCATGATCACAAAGCACAGCAACTTGGAATCATTTAGCACAAAAGCAATCAGTCCTGTGCAACTCAGTAACCCATGAAGGTTGAGTATAAAAAAACATGTACACACACACACATATTTAGAAATAAATTCAGTTCAAATTTAGAAGTAATCTTTAAACAAGAGAAAGAAAAATCTAGGCTACGTAAGAAAAGAGTAAAAAAACTACTCTATGGAAGTGGTTAGGTTTGGCCCAGCAGACAGGTAGAGGGAAGATAAGGAAGAGGATGGAAGGAGAGCACGTCACTTATAATAAATGTATTATAATATGTTTAGTCAAAATGCATCCTTATTTCCATTTAAACTTCTTTTTCTGTCCTCCAAGTTTTCTTCCTGGAAATCTAATAAAAACTGTGCAAACTAGAAGATTACCTCATAATGAATTCATATTTATTGTTAAGAAATTTGAATGTAAATGAAGTTTTGAGTCATAAAAATATTTGAATGGATTTATTGTTAGGCACAGCACACACAGGGGTAATTACACAATAATATAAGTGTTAAGAAAGAAGTTGGGAAAACAGTTTGGTAGTCACTGAGCAAGTCCATTTGAATTTTATAAATGTGAGTTTTAAATGAGAAATGTATAGGTAAGCTTATATTATTAATAATGTAGTTAGGTTCAGTGTTAGGATCACTTACATTTTAATACTTCCTCAAAATATCTGAGGCATGTGGTGGTCTCACAGAATAAAAAATCACTTTATATGTAATCTTTCTACTTAAATCTTTCAAATATCTAGACAAGAGATACTGAAAGTAACATTTTTGTAAGCTAAATGGAAGACAGTACTTCCTTTTCCCTTCTAAAGAAATTAAATAGGTACATTATATATTAGAAAACATTTTCATATAAGATTTTATATAAGCATGAATAAATGAACCTAAATGACTTTTCAATTCAGGGTTCTTTACCCTTCTCCCCAAAGTTCTTTGTTTGGGGTAAAGAAATGAGGGGAAGCATTGTAGTGGAGCTGGTCAGAAAGAAACACACAGGGCAATGGCTGCCCAAAGAGGCCACAACTCACTCTCCACCTTACATGTCCCCAATTCACTTACTCGGCACACCAATTCATTCTAAAACACAAAATTAAACCTATAATAAATAAAAAATCTCATTGTTATTTAACCAAAACTCTGTCTTCATACAATTCTTATTAGAAGAGCTACTGCTGAAATCTATAGCAGATTGTTAAGTACCTATCATCACCATCATAACTAGCAACTACTGTCAAGTACTTCCATGTGCCAGGCCCTGTAGTCTGTGCTTTATAACCCTTCCCATATGAGGGAAGTACTATTATCTCCATTTTTTGTATGAAAAACTGAACTCAAGAGGGCCTTGTATTCCTAGATTCTTTGTGAGCAACAAACTTTATCATCTGGTTTCACTGTCATTTAGAGTTAAGGATTTGATTTTATTATACCTGATGAATTTATAGATTTTTCTTCTGTTTAAAAGAATAGTTTTCGCTGGGCACAGTGGCTCACGCCTGTAATCCCAGCACTTTGGGAGGCTGAGGTGGGTGGATCACCTGAGGTCAGGAGTTCAAGAACAGCCTGGTCAACATAGTGAAACCCTGTCTCTACTAAAAATACAAAAATTAGCCAGGCATGGTGGCAGATGCCTGTAATCCCAGCTACTCGAGAGGCTGAAGCAGGAGAATTGCTTGAATCCTGGAGGCAGAGGTTGCAGTGAGCCAAGATCACGCCATTGCCCTCCAGCCTGGGCAAGAAGAGCAAAACTTCGTCTCAATTAAAAAAAAAAAAAAAAAGAATAGCTTCCTGAAGATCAGCCCAAGAACATCCTGCTTTCAACGCCTAGATGTGAATTTCAGGAACTGCAGAAGAAATTTCTTCAGAAAGTCTTCATATTTAAAGTAGCTTTCCCTGTGGTACCTAGATAAAGTTACATGCTGATGATCTGACATAAGCCAAGGGCAGGCAGCATAAACATATTTAATAGTGTGTGCTCAAAGACAGGTTAGTTGAAAAATCATGAGAGCACAATGGGAGTATTCTTTTAAAAAGAGATTTAAATTGGATTTTTCTTAGGAGATATTTAAATAGTTTATTCTTTAAATCAAATACTCTTTTTATTATTGCAAAAGACTAAACTTTCTAGATATAAAATCAATAACAGATTTCTACCATGATTTATTGTACAATTTTACTCTCACTTCTAAAAAGATCAAAATTCTTCAAGAGTTTACCTTATATCAATGTTTCCCAAAATGCATTCCTCACTAACAGGTATTTTAAAAGGAAAGTTCTAATAAAATATACTTGGGAAATCCTAGGTTAAACTAAGTTAACTAGGTTTCTTGACTGAAGGAACTAAAAAAGTACTCCCATATTTTCTCACAGGTAAAATAAAAGTCTTATTGAAAAACATCTGGCAGAGCACAGTGGCTCATGCCTCTAATCCCAGCACTCTAAGAGGCTGAGATGGGAGGATCACTTGAGCCCAGAAGTTTGAAACCAGCCTGGGCATCATAGAGAGAGCCTCTCTCCTAATTAATTAATTAAATATCTATTTACTTTACATCAAAAAATTCATAGGTGGAAGTTAAATCTAAACAAAACTTTTATCTCTATTTCTCATCTACCAAAAACCCGGCAATGCTTCTGTGAGAGTAAAGAATAACACTTTTAATTTTGATAACTACTACTTGAATAATCCGTAAAAGAGATTGGGCAAATAAAGTTTCTCTTTCCTCAAGGAAAAAAAAAAAAAAAAAAAAGCCATATAATTTATTAAGGGTTGTTTACCAAGAGATAGAAATGAATATGAAACATCATATAAGTAGATCATGTCAGTGACATAATCTAGTGTTCAGGTTAGCAGAATTAAGTCATATCTGAACACATATGGGGAGAATTCTTCATACTTCTTGTTTTTCCCAAAACAAAAGCCATACTAATGGCAGTCACAAGTGAATAGGAAAGCCAAAGATGATAATGCTTTTGCTGCTTACTTTGTACACAAGGTAGAGAAGTAGTTTCATAAACCTAAGTAACTGCTACTTCGAGGTTAGACGATGTAGATGTACTGCCAACTCAGGACTGACAAAGTTGTAAATGAAACTATAGTTCTTTACACCTTTGCTGTTAATTCCATGAAGATTATTTAGTAATCTATGTCCAATGAATAAATGTGTCCAAAATTTTAAGAATGTTTAAATGCATATTTGAAAACACAAATTTTATCCAAACCAAATTCAAAATGGTTTTCATTGCTTAATATTGTTTTCCCTTAAAGTGAGATGGTGTTTAAAGATTCTTGGTACAGACAGTAAAGTCACAGGCACAACATACAAGTAAAATCTTATTATATAGAATTTCAAGGGAATCCACATTTTTCTGTTACTGTGAATTCCAGAATGGTAATTTGATTATAAGCAAGCATATTCCTATTGTGAAAAATTCTGTAGAGAACATAATAATGGAACAGGGAAAAAGATAAGAGCATTCTGGCCAAAAAAAATGGTAAGTGAATGCACACACACACCTTCACTCTGACCCTCTTCAATGTTTTCAGTCTTTTGTTACATTTGGTTTTAATAGTTGATTTGAATGTTTAGGTGGGCCTTTTGGTGGCAGTTGTAGGTTTGCCTGCAAGGTGCAAGAGTAGCTGGAAACTGCTGCTTGATAGAGCATGAAGCAAAAAATGAGCTAAGGCCTCATCATTGCTTAGTTCAGCTCTGCTCTCTCCAGCCTTGTCTAAGTAAACAGTGCATACACAGATACTGTCAGCATAAGGAGGGAAAAGTCTAGAAAACAAATTGTACCAACCTCTAGAGGAGAAATAGTTTAGTTTTATGAAATGTATCCTTTTACAGGTATTTACTCTTTCACCTTTTTTCCCCCAAATGCTAGTGTAATATAGAACATGTAAAAGAAAATTCTGTAAATGCTTATAGCTTCCAAATCAGACATAATGAAAGCTATAGAACTATGTCTTAAAATTATTGACATGACATATATAACATGCACCATATTAGTTAGTAGAAAAAAGAACATGAGCCTCACAGTGCTATTAAATTTAAAAAGAAAAAAAACTTTGCATTATGAAAAGACAAATGCTGTCAACATTTGCTAAAAGCTTAAAAAAAACTTAAAAGACCAAGATTAAAACTAGAAAAGCTATCAATACAAGAAATAGGCTCTCACACATTTTTCGGAAACATACCCGCCTTCTACAGAACCTATGAGGCGATCCTCCCTTAGCAATGAAGTTTATTAAAAAAAAAAAGAGAGAGAGAAATCATCCAAAAACTGTAACTGCTTATTTTCCCAATCAACAAACATAGCTAAATATCAAACTTACAATAACTAAAATAGATGCATTACAATGAATAACCACATTATATTAATCTTTAGAAATACAGAATCTGTACATTTCTCATTCCTAAGAGATTGGCCAATGATAAAAGTAATCTCAGCAAACAAATGTATTTATATACTAAGGAACTATTTTTAATATAATAAAATGCGACTGGAATACTTTTTTCTGCAAAAATGTTTACCATCGCCTTTCCAAAAATAAATGTAATGGAAAATTACTTCAGCATTCAATAGGTATTCTCAAAAATAGTATTTCTGATAAAAGATTAAATGACAAAACAAAAATTATTATTATGCAATTATTCCAAATCAAAGGTAATTATCCATAAACAAATTACTTTGACATCTTAAATCCATTTTGGACTTCAAAACTGCAATATTATAGATGTGTAACTAAAACAGTTCATGAAAACATGTAAGTACATGGAAGCATAAGATAACAAAGTCATATTAACAGTGTAAGAATAAAGAATATCAAGTGAATCTTACCCTTTGTTCCAAAGCTGATTGAGTCTGTTGTCTTAAAAGAGCTTTAAAGGGCCCCCCTTCTTTTCCAGCACTACCACTTCCCATTCCTACAGAACATCAGTACATAAATAACAACCAAAAAAAAACAACTATAGAAACAAAGTTTAATTGCATTCATCTTCATAAACATCATGAGTTGAAATGTGATAAAATGATCGAAACATTTAAAGCACTGGGGATGACAACTAAAGCACATATTTTACTCTACTTTTATTCACAAAGTTTTCTTTAGATGCAAGATGTCAGAGCCCTAGGGACCCCAGCTAGTTTTGGACTTAATTTTTTCTGAAAATTATAAGAAAAATTATGTTAAGGTGATGAAACTTTCCATAATATTCCATTTTAAAAGCTGAGTCTTTTAATTAATTAAAATAATCAAGATAATAACAATTACTATGCTAACAATTTAGGAATACTAAAAAATGAGAAATATAGTATGTCTGATTAAATGTAAATATAGAGACAAAAGCACTACTTGTGCTCACTTAAAATATTCCAAAATTCTCTAAAAAACATAAAATTTAGGTGATTTTGAAATATAGTCAAATCTATTTTCTTATAACTTCCCATTTCTAAACATATCATGACAAAACAGTATTAATTTCATACTTGTCAATACTCATTCACAAAAATCAACATAAACTTTTTTTAAATAAACAAAAAACCACGGACATGTAATAGACACATCACAAATGTACATAGTTATGAATGAAAGAAGTACCTTTCCCAAGCTCTTAGATATATTTTTTATGGCTTCATTTTAAATTTCTTTCCCTACCTTATATTATTGTTCTGACCATGCCAATAGATCAACTATGGTCAAAGAATCACAGAAAGCAGGGGACAGGTAAGAAGCCAGTGCTCTACAGACTAGAGTTAATCCCATCCCTTTCAAAACTGAAGATGCATACAGCCAAATTTACTACAATGACTTAAAAAGAAACTAACTTTTACATTTTTAGCTGTTCTTGGATAAGGAAACAAAGGTTAGCATATGTATAGTCCCATTCTGTTCTTAAAAAAAAAAAAAAAAAGATTTTTCTTATAGTAATCTGAACATTATTTTTAGAGACTATACAATACTAAACATAGAAATGAAACTAAGATCTTTATATGAAGCATATTAAAAGCCAGAAAATAAAATGTAAATTTGTAGTGATAAGTGAAATATCAGAAAATATATCAGAAAAATTTAATAATTAATGCAACAGACAGAAAAAAAAGATAATGAAAGAATACCACCAAAATGAGACTTAAACTGATTCAAACAGAATAATTTACTAATGTAACCAACTGGTTTAGCAACATGATGATACAGGTCCAATGTGAATGGAGTTGGTATGAAGAGAAAGAAAGTAAAGCATCTAAAACAGAAACTGTAGTAATAAGAATCTAATAATATTAGAAATACCCAGATCTATGTCCTCAGACATATAATCTTTTAATATATAAAATAATTTGGCAGAATATTCATGATTAGCCATCAAGTAATCCTCAATTATATCCTTATAATTCCAATTATTTAACTGTCTACCAGTAATAAAAATAATAGAAAGGCATCTTGTATAAAATATCCAATAATTCTTTACAGCATGAAAAATAAAGGGATTAAAAAGCTGACATAATGTGATCCTACCAGAAGCAGCCAGGAACAGCTCTTCACTGAAAGAAACACTTTTCCTCAGAACTGGGCTGACAAGGCTAGAATGATGAGGGGTAAGGCTAGATTCCGAGAGGAGGAGACAGGACTTTTTAAGATGAAGGGAACCACAAGAGAGAGAGGGGGAGCTGGGACACAGGTAAATCCTAGGTCCCTGTGGGTAAGGTGCTGTGGAGGAAAGTAGCAGAGAAAAGATGCAGATTCAGAAGATGATCAAAAAATGCAAGCTAAGGAAAGCAATGATGAGGCAAAATATAACAATAAAAATGAACTTTAAAATGTACAGACAAATTACACTAAGCAAATGAAAAGTCACTAGCAAGACCATCTATCCCACATAATGTAAATAAAAGGCATAGTCTAAAACTTAACAAAACCTTTACAAACTTCACATTCACTAAAATTTTTTAAATCACTAACTTAGGATTTTATGTGATTCTAATAACTTTTAATTGACATCTTCAAAATACTTAACTTGCCTGCCCTTTTTGGCTTAAGAATTTGTAAGATTAAAATATACCACATTTTCAAATGTTTAGAGCCAGACTTGCTGCCTAAAATATAAACACTTATTTAAAGTTATAAAGGTGCAGTAATTCAAATGTTACTAACTTTAGATAGCATTTATGGGCACTTTAATTGAATACCCATAAAAAATATTCAGTACTGGATTAGGTAAACAGTTGTCAGTATTAATTTTAATATTAACTTCTTTCTGTCCAGTTTTGAGATACATATTAATGCTTTTCTTTTTCCTCTAAAATGTTTAATACTTTACTCTGATCATAGTATTATTTGCATTTACCGAGATTTGAGTACCCTAAGGGTCAAATACCCTCTGTAAAAACTATACATAGTTAAAAGACTGGCTAAAAATATTAGCTAAAATCAGGTATCAAATCAATATTCTAACACTAGTAAATCTAAAATTCCACTATTAAATACTTGGGAAAAAATATAAAAATAAAACCTTGTAAATGTCAAAATTAGTATCTAGAGAAATAAACATATAAGTTTTTAAAAGAGACCTACCAGAAAAACAGATAATGTAGCTTGAACTACAAACAGGAAAAAAAAAAAAAAAAAAAAAAAAATTTCTGTCTAAATGTCATTTATTCTACTTTTGGATTCCCAAATAAATTATAATCAGCTTATGTCTGTCCATTATTTCTCAAGACACTGATTCTGATATAGGTAAATTAGAAGGCAGAAAATCATGAAATACAGGCTGAAATTTTAGTTTTAGAACTTTTATAACAATCACAATTTTTCCATTTGAAGTTTCCATGAGATAGGAGTGTTCCTCAGGACAATTCGGAGAGATTCAGGGACTCACAATATAAGGCCAAGGGGCTGAAAATTGCTAATGTTATATAAATAAGCTATTGAAGTAATAAATAATTTTAGGAAAAACAAAACTATTTAGAAGCAGCTTATAAATATAGGAATACATGGGAATAACACCCCATTTGTAAATAAAAATTTTTAAACTAAAAATTTGGAACCAGAAGATAAAATATGAAAAGTTCATTAATAATTATTACTTGACAATCTTCTTTAGGCTTGGCCTTTTTGGTGAATTTAAAAAAAAAAAAAAAAGAAAAAAGAAACAGAAAGACCAAGGAAATGCTTTCCAAATTGTATCTATGGTATGGCAAAAAAATAAAAAATAATAATAATCATCATAAATAAATAAAGGCTTGGAATATGCAGTCAGTGGACCACAGTCTCAAAAATATTTTTTAAACTTATTACTCAAATAGTAATGTAAGTCTTTGTCTTGATTGTCATGAATTTTAAGGCCAGAGTCTTTTACGCTTTATCTGAAAAAAAAAAATCTTTTTTCACTACAGTCTGGATGGTTCAGTTTTTACGGCATAAACCTGGTAAGGTGTCAAATTCCAAAGCATGTATTACTATCAAATAACTACATTATGTGTAGACATTATTCATAATTATCTAGAAAGATGAAGCTGTTAACTTCAAGAAAACAGGTGTTTATCTTTATATTTTATGACTTCATTTATAAAAACAGAAATTAAATCTACAGCCTTTTTAAAAAAATGATCTTTCCTTAGAAGTAGCACTGCTTTGGATTTAGACTTCTTTTCCTTGTTTTCACAAAATCTAGGATTGTTTTATAAATTTCTAACATACAAATAGGGCTATTAAAAAATACTAATTAAAAATAACATAACTTTTAATCATCTGATGGGAAAACTGTCAGACAAAAATACTATTTATAAAAATTTCACACCATTAGTTTTAAGTTTAATTTATTTTAAATTTTTCTAAACAATAATACTTTAATGATTTAAATAAGTTAATTCTATTCTAAGGTATAAGGAACTAATCTGATTTTTTCATCAACTTTTTATCATAAAACATTTTCATAAAAACCCAGAAATCATTCATCAAAATACAATAGAAAAGAAAAAGATATAAATTTAATAAACAGAAAAATTTAAGAATAAGTAAAAATGCTATTTTCTAACCTAGAAAGACTAGTAAAACCAAACATTTTAAATATCCAGTTAATAGATAGATGTACTCTAATACAACCATTTCAGTGGTTAAAAGTTTTTTCATAATAAAATCTTAGAATTATATTCATTAATAGGCAGAAATAATAAATTCAAAAATGCTTGTATGCAACTGATTACAATCTACTAGTGTTACTTTTTAGTCAAATGTTTTAAGATGTTATTCCTCTTAATTTGAGCATAAAATAAAAAATGTCTATATGCCAAAATAAATCCTGGACTTTGATATCTACACTATGATTAAATCAATGAAATGTAGACAAGATAATTTCTGAATTATACAAAATTTTCATATTTTAATTGCAGTAACTGAAAATGGTCAGTATTCACATTTTCTTTTTAACTTAAGTGCCAAAAACAAGAGGAAAGATTTGGATGGAAAGCTAATAAGAAATAGAAACAAATTTTTTAAAAAAGAAAAAACAAAAGGTGGGTGGAAGCGCCTTACCAGTTTTGGGTGTCAAACTCAAATCTGTGTCAGAAGAAGAGGACTGTCGACTGTAGGACTTGGAAGGTGAAAAGGAATAGGTTTGGTTTTTCAGAGGGGTTGAGGGTCCTGATGAGTGAGTATTGGGATTGGGATCTTCATTGAAGGGAATCCTGCCAGAAGAAGGTGGAGAAATATTAAGTAATCATGTGCCAAAGGGCTTGACGGGTGGCAGCATGATCCAAACACCAGGAAAGAATTGGGGCAGGGCCAGCAGTCATTTCTTACGTGTGGAGCTGGGAATGAGGCCAAAGACAACCAATTGCTGTTTAACCATTCATCACTCTCCAGATAAACATTATCTGCATTGAAACAGTTAATAAGCCAAGTGAAAAAGCAAAAAAGCATGAAATGACAGACTAAGGGGATAAAAAATATCAAAAGGAGAAATAAAAAGAATATATGACAAAATATTTTCAAATAATGCTGTAAGTTACAAAAGAAAAATGGTAACTATAAGCAGTGTGTGTAAATATTCATAATTGTTTTTATATTTGCACACACAAAGATATCCTCAAAATAAAAAATGTTTCCTTATCCTATAGCAGCAAGAGTGCCACAGCTAAAAACACAGCAGAGAGAAAAATGAATACAGCTACAAAGAAACATTGCCTTTAATGCAGAATAGTTGCTTACCTGTTCTCCAATAGCTCTCTTCCACAGAATGAAATAGAACCTACTGTAATAGGTTTTGTATATAAAGAAAATAAGCAAATTGGAAGCTTTGGCAGCTACTTCATTTAGAATCTAATCATCAATTTTATTTTTAAGCAAATGAAGAAATAATTATAAAATATGTATGGGAGGATTCGCCTCAAAACTCACAGTACACATACACAAAATAGCATTATTTGAGGATCTGTGGAAGAGACTTTGGAAGCTGGAAAAATACCTTCACTTCCATATAGTTAGAGACTCTGTGGCAGCTAAATACAGAAGTTCCTCACTGCAGCTGGACTTCGAGTAAGAAAAGGATGAAGCAAAGACTTGTGGTACCTGCCTACACTACCTGCCTGCCTGCCTCTGCAGCCACTCTGCCCGTGGCCTGCATCTCCCCAGCTCTGGAGTCTGAGCAGTCTCGTACCAGTATAGATGAGAGTGGGAACAGACACAGAGAAGTTCTGAGTAAGTCGTGAGCCAGTAGCAGTGTGAATTGGGCTGTTGTGAGTCGAGCGGCATCCATGGCTTGGAGGATGAACCAGCGGAGACCTGAGGGAATTTGCGGTCAAAGTGGAAGAAAAGAAAACAATACATACAACAGATTGCAGAGTTATGTTAAAATAATTTCAAAGGAGCTTTAGTTAGGGAAGAGAACTTATTTTTTTTAATCCCTAGCATGCAAAAAACAAGTTGAAATTGAAAAATAGCTCAATATTAATTTGTTAGGATACAGTCATAGTTTTAAAGTATCAGATTAATAAATTAATTGCGATTAATTTATTAATTGTGAATAAGAAAATGGCAAGCAGAATAGTCAATGAAATTAAGTGAGAACAAGACTAAGATCTGTATTTTAAGTTTCCTTAACATATTTGTTATTATTTTCATCACAACAGAACTCACTATGCACTATTTATGAGGAGGGACACCCATAAAAGTAAAAAAATCAAATATGAAGTTCTTATATTACCTTTGAAACTGAGATATGAATTGCTGATATAATTAATTATATTTTCTATAAAGAAAGTTAAATAACTGTCTAGGTTACTAAGATAGGGGTACTTAAGAATATGAGAGATGACGGCATAAAGAGAAATGAGTGAACTGAACGCATATATGCAGATAAACATATTCCAGTATTTCTATACACCAAATATATAGCTTAAAATCAGGTTACACTGGAAGCAAAACAAGGGGACCTTGCTTTTAAAGACACCTTCATAAAACAACGTCAATAACTTTGGCTCTCATACAGAATATATTATATAAACTATATTCCAAATCAAAATTTTCTAAGATATCAACTTATATCCTATAATAAACCATATCTATGTGTGTGTATACTTAGAGCAGTTATACGAGAATACATTGATATATAACATTTTAAATTTTTAAGAAAAAATTTGGCTAAAAGGATTACACTGAATGTTGTAAAAAGGTATATTACATAAATAAGAATCCTGAATTTAATATCAGCAATTATTTCATTGTGCAATGCCTTTGCTTACACACAATGAGGGAAACAGAACCATATGAATCATAAGTGAGTACACTCTGAAAAACTATCATCCCCACTTTAAAGGCAGGCCAAGAGCCCAACTTTACCTGACCTTTATTTTTTTTTCCATTGCTATATTACTGACTGCCCAAGAACAATCCCCAATTCACAATTTGTCAAGGTTCAAACATGAGCTATCACTAATTGATCATAATAGTCCTTCCTAAGGTCTACAGACTGCTTTCGGAAAATATTACTGATTTTACAATAGCGGAAATGTTTCTACTTTTGTTGCTAATAGAAATTAAAAGATATTTACTACAATGGATAAAAATCAAACAATTCATTGGTGATCTACTTTTACACAAAAAAATGAGTAAGGTTTTGTTTTTGTTTTTATTTCTCTGCTGAAGTGAGAAAAAGTGTAAGAATTCTCAAAAAGAATTTAAAAATCCAAGACTTAAAAATAAACAAAGCTATATTTATTATAATCAGTACTATACACAGGAGAATTTGTCTCTCAGCACTTTTCTTAAGTAAAGAAGCAATAACTCATACTTAAAAGCACTTTCTATCGTCAAGAGAGTTAAGCTGGAAAACACCAAAGGGATTTATAGTGTGCATGACACTAAACATCTAAAAGAAAAAAACAAATTTAGGAAGTAGAACACACCACTAATATAGGGAAAATAAAATGAAAAACTAAAATGAACAGTGTAAAATGTTCAAATTATGGCATCAAATTAAAATTCAAATGCACTGGAACATCACCATAATGTATTCTTGGAGTTTTCTGATTCGATCAGTGTCTCTGCATGAAAGGATGCCTCATAATAATAACCTGTGGTATTTATAATATTAATATTCCTTTCCAGTCAGTCAATAACATAATCTAGACAACCTTTTATCAAATTCCTGTCTAGAATCAACAATATTACATGATAATTAAATACCAGAATAGTTATAATCAGCTGAATCATAAAATAGGCTTTGAAATAGAACCCATATTGCTTCATTATCAAAAATGCAATGAAGCTAGTTGAAATAAAACAGCCTGAGTATTGAGGGTTTTTTCAAAATAACTTGACTTCATTAGTAAGATGCCTTTCAGAAAATCCTAAGGAAGGAACTTAGGTTCATCATGAGGCTACAACAAGATTAGAAAAGGAGAAGACACATACAATCCCAGAAGATTTACGCTAATAGAACTCTTCCTGAATGTATGCAAAACATATACCCCTGCTATCCTTATTTCTAAGAAAGCAACAGGTAATATAGCTTTCTCATTCTCTTTCAACTAAGTAACTTACTTAAATTGGCTTAAACTTTCACTTTAATTTGCTACTAAGTATTTACTTAAATTTGCTACAGAGAGAGGGAAAAACAATCTGAATCTCTCAAAAAGCTAAACCTGCAATCTGACTCTACTGCTGGCAGCTGGCAATTCTTATCTTTCTAGGAGATATTTCAAATGGAATATAAAGCAAATTCATTCTTCAATTTATTTAAAACAATTATTTCACTTGCCAATGTGTTCCCAAATAAAATTATGCAGTATGTAACACTGTGCTTCCTCTTATGAATAAAATTCAACCCAAATGACTAACAGCCAGCAGAAACAAAATGGCTAAACAAAAAGAATGCACTTAAGATGAAAATTTCATTTTAAAAAAGATTGTGAAAAAACGTGTTTTTTCATACTACAATACCTTTCTATTCAACCCCTCCTGACTACTGCTGAACTGCGGAACATTTTAGGTTTCCTGACTATACAACTCTGACTCCCTGATTATCTAGGACAGGAGTCCGCAAACTACAGACTGCAGGCCGAATGTGTCCTGCTATCTGTTTTGTAAGTAAGTTTTATTTGAACACAGTCACACTGTATTCATTTGCATACTGTTTATGTTTGCCTTTGTGCTACAATGGCAGTTATGAAGCAACATCGGCAAAAACTGAATTATTTACCTGTACATTTTGTCATTCACAGACAAAGTTTGCCAACCCCTGACTTAGAAGAATCTCTAGATGAGTGATCTTCAACCGAAGTTCTAAAGGCATTTAGGATGGAACAAATCTTCATTGTATAGGGTTGTCCCTTGCTTTGCAGAATAGTCAGTCTCTCTAGTGCCCAACAGGACCTAGCCCCCTAATCATTATGACAGAAAAATCTTGTTCCAAACATTCTGTATTGACAGTCACCACTATCATCATGCTGAAAATCTCTGCCTCTGACACAGTGATGACACACACAGGCCAAATCAAGTCAACAGAAGTGTTTTGCAGGATCGCACATAGATTTTCTAAAATGTATGACTCTAAATTTCTTTAGATTAGGGATCAGCAAACTCCCTTTTTTGTAAATAAAGACAAGAGATCATATGGGCAGACCCTAAAATATTGGCCTTTCCCAAAAAAAGTTTGCCAACCTTGGCTTTGCAGGCAGTAGTATACTCTATTTAATTACACTCGGTTAGTTTATTCATATAAATTCCCTGGCCTCTAGACATTTGAGTTTAAGACTTCTGCACAAATCAATTTTTCCTGCATTATATACTATGTGGCCATTAATAAGTATAATTGGATTATCTGGTAGAGGGTTTTAAGCATTCCTCAGAAAATAAAATGCCACAGAATGCATGAATATTCATTTTACGCTTCATATATGCAGTGTCTAAATATCTGGAATGTTTAATTTTATATTACTTAATTTGTTTCATAGTAAGATGGTATAGGTTGGGCACAGTGGCTCACACCTGTAAATCCCAGCATTTTGGGAGTTCAAGGCAGGTAGATCAGGAGTTTGAGACCAGCCTGGGCAACATGGCAAAATCCCATCTCTACTAAAAATACAAAAATTAGCTGGGCATGCAGGTGTGCCCTTGTAGTCCCAGCTACTCAGGCGGCTGAGGTGGGAGGATCATCTGAGCTTGGAAGGTCAAGGCTGCAGTGAGCCAAGACTGTGCCACTGAACTCCAGCCTGAGCAACAGAGCAAGACCCTGTCTCAAAAAATAAAAATACAAATAAATAAGATGGTATAAATAAAATATTAGGAATATTTAAATATTTTTAAGTTTTAAATTTTGACAGTCATTGCCAATAAAAATCATCACAGAGAAAATGTTGAACCACCCTACTAAAATGTTTCAAATCAAATGAAAAAGCATAGATAAAAGATAAAAATCTTAGCAAGAACAATTTCATTGATTCATACTTACTCCTTCATTTCTTTGGATGGGGAATTACATGCAGGAAGGAATGCTGCTGGGCTACTTAATTTATCCAGAGTACACGCCGTTCCTATGGCTCTCACCACTAACCCAGATTCGCCCTCCAGATCGAAACACTGTAAGTACCCCACAACTGCATTTCCTCTCATTTCAAGTACTTTCAAGCCAATCTTCCTCTGCAGTTCACCTACAAAAAGTGGGAAATCTCATTCTTGCTTCTCTTTACATTACATACTATAAGACTGGATATGGTAGTGGTTAAAAAAAAAAAAAAAAAAAAGTCCAAGAAAATCACAGATTTTCAGAACTTGAAGGAAACTTAAAAGATAATCTGGTTTAGCTTCTACGGAATACAGAACATAATTCTATTATACTATAGCATAATTATAAAATATAATATATACTTATACAGCACAAATATATAGAACAAAAACAAATATACATATTTACTATATAAACAGAACATTGATACTTTGTGTGAAACATATGTATGCATATATATATTCATGCATATACATATATAACTCTTAATATAAATATAAACTTTAAATAAAATGGTAAACAAGTTTTTCAAAGAAAACTTTAAAAAGGGAAGGAGGTCAGAGTGGCAGGGAAAGTGGTCAAATGGGTAGAGGGAACTACACTACCCAGGGAAGAACTGTGAAAAGGCAACATTTGAACAGAAAGTATGATAGACAGAAGAAGGTGATTTGCTTAAGCTCTGACAAATAAATGGTAGAGGGAGGAAAACTGGAATCCAGGTTCCCATTCAGGGTTCCTTCCTGAACCCCCCTTGTTCAGTGCTCTTTCCACTACACTACCTCATCAACACAATTTCCTTTTACTACAAGCTTCTGATTTGCATTTCCACTTGTTAAAAGAAGGCAATGCAAGTATGTTCAGGAAGGCTGGGTCGGGGAAGGCATTCAGTCACTGCTAATTCATACCCTTCATTGTAAAAGTTGAGGTAGCATGTCAAAGGAAAGTGAAAAATTTAAGAGTATTAAATCAGTCAGTAATAAAGTTATTTTTTTTAAATACCTGACATTAACGAAATGAGTCTCTGTCTGGCCTCATTTGATGCCCTTGGTGTGCGAATTCGATCAATCCACTGATATTCTGGGTCTTCATTGACCACAAGTTCTTCTACAAATCCATGAATTATCACAGCTCTATAGCACTTTGGAATAGATGTTGCTGTTAAAACAAATTATTATGCTTCTGTTTATCAAAAGGTAAAACTCAGTTTTTAAAAACTGTTCATCTCAGTTTTCTGACCTTTAGATACATAATATAAGAACATCTTTTACTGTAATATTCTCAATGTAATTATAATAATACTTCCAATCAGTCTTCTAAGATCTATTTCATTTTTAGAAATAATTATTTTCTTTCATGGAGCCTCTCACCTTTCTTATGTAAGCAAAGTAAATATAAATTGTATTTGTATAAATTGGAAAACAGCTATAGACGACCTTAAACAGAATTCAATACAAAGTTTAAAAAATCAAAATTTAGGTCAGCTAGCTAATTATTACATAAATAGGTAGAAAGCAGATAATGAATTTTTTTAAATCTTCAATTATTCAAAGCCCTTTGTGAAAGCACTTCTGTACACCACATAGCACAGTTTCAAAAATTAAACCACTACCTTTCTGACATAACCTGAGGAGTCAAGTTCAGATTCAAAAAGGAGAGAACCTGAATACATCTGTACCAAATTAGCCTCTTAAAATAAACATTAGTGCACTGAAGCTAAGTCAGCTAGTTAGGGATTTCAATCCTACTATTGCAGGCTGGCTGTGAGTCACCAAGATCTGCCCATTTCAGACCCATGTATTTCATGGAGTTCCCTAGACCCAATAACCATAGAAGCCTGTGTATTTTGGGACAGCACCACAGTGCTTAGCCGTAGTGTTCTGCTCCTTTCTTTCAGTGTCCTATACTACAGTAAAATGTCACTGGATTTTTCTAATAAAACTTTCTATAAATGTTCAAAAACTAGATACCATTTATACTCAAATCAGAACTACTGTAACTATTCTAGAAAATTAACAATTTTCTCTTTGGCATTAAAACCAAGTATAATACCCTTTCTACTTGCCTTCTGAAATGCTAACTTGATTTCTCATATTTAACAGTTATTACATTTCCTGTTGAGTAACAGAATGTGTTTACTTACTGCAAAAGAATTTGACTCCACATGATGACTGCCTAAATCGATTTAAATCATTGAAGAGGTCTACTTTGACAACTACATTGATTTCTCCACGGATACCTATAAATTTAAAAAGAAAATCAAGTTTCTACCTTAAGAAAGTAATGTACAATTAAATAATGAAGCAAATTAATGCTAAATAATGATTTTAAAATACAATGATTTAACTTACAATTTTTGGAACTTTACCAGGGTGCAAAACCATTCTGTTTTTCACTTTCAGTCCAGAATTCAATGAATTACATGAGATGTTCAATACTTTATTTAAAAAGTAGTCTTTGTTTTAGTTGATTCTGTCCAACTGTCGGCTAATATAAGTGTTCTGTGCACATTTGAGATAGGCTAGGCTAAGCTACAATGTTTAGTTGATTAGATATATTAAATGCATTTTCAACTTAGGATGAATTTATCGGGATACAACCCCATCACAAATCAAGGTGCATCTGTAATGTGTTGATCATGATAGTAATGGCAGCTTTGTTTCCTAATTATTTTCATTCTCAGTAGTTTCTGTATATTTTCTGAAGCACAACATGTATGCATTAGAAAATGAGTAATTTTCATTTTCACCACAAGTTTCCACTTTGACCCAAGACGAATTAGAAAGGAGTCCCGTTTGAATTGATGATGATGTAATGATTATGGTGACAACATTTGCTGAGCAGTGAAAGAGGATGTACTAAATGCTTTACAGGTAGTATCTCAGAGTGGTCACATTAACCCAATAAGGTAGCATCATCCTCATTTTACAAAGGAAGAAATTAATATTTAATAAAAATGAAGGAATTAACATAGTGTCAACAGCTGTTAAGTGGCAGATCCAGGATTAAAATTCAGATCTTTATGATCCCAGATTATATACTCTTAAGAAGTAATGCAAGAATCTGATTTAAAACAAAACAAGTTTTATTCATTTCAATGAATGTAAGTTAAAGTAAGCTAACTAAAAAATTCCAAGCTAGGAGTAGTGGCTCATGCCTGTAACGGGAAGCAAGGCAGGAGGACAGCTTGGGCTCAGGGGTTTGAGACCAGCCTGGAAAACATAGCGAGAAAAAAATTAAGTAAATAAAAATTTCCAAGAATACGGGTTTTCAAAACATGCTCTGATAAATAAGAATGACCCAGCTCTTATCTCTAAACATTTACTAAATATTTTCATTTGACTGTCCTGACTTCATGTCAAATTCATACTTATGGTGGAAGACCTAAGAAAACTGACTCAATAATTTACCTACTAAAATATTAAGAAAGCAAATCTCAACACTCTGGGAAGCTGAGGCAGACCTGAGCTCTGGAGTTAAGGCCAGCCTAGCCAATATGGCAAAACCGTGTCTCTATAAAAAAATTTAAAAATCAGCCAAGTGTCACGGCATGTGCCTGTAATCCCAACTGCCCAGAAGGTCCTGCTTCAGGCAACAAAAAACTTTTAAATAATTTGTAAGCACAAAAATCAGTATTAATCAGTTTGAAAATGTGTTTTAGAAACACAGTATCAACACTAGATCAGTTTTAAATCATGCATTTACTTACCATACTGTACAAATTTAGCAAGCATTATCTCAAATTATGTTGAGAAGCAACAATTTTACTAACAATAATTTACTATTATTTGTTTATTTTTAAAAAGGCATCATCTTAAGATATATATACACACACACACACACACACACACACATATATGTATATATGGTTTGTTTTTTTTTTTTTTTGAAACCGTCTCACTCTTGTTGCACAGAACGTGATCTCGGCTCACCGCAACCTCCGCCTCCCGGGTTCAAGCGATTCTCCTGCCTCAGCCTCCCAAGTAGCTGGGATTACAGGCATGCACCACCACACCCAGCTAATTTTGTATTTTTAGTAGAGACGAGGTTTCCCCATGTTGGCCAGGCTGATCTCAAACTCCTGACCTCGGGTGATCCACCCGCCTCGGCCTCCCAAAGTGCTGGGATTGCAGGCAAGAGCCACCGCACCTAGCCTAAAGATACTTATTTTAAACCACCAAATATAGCATAAATGTCTTTAAAGACAAGTAAAAAAGATTAAGATTGTCATTTTTAATACTTTCTTATTATTCCTTACCATGTATAGTGTCATAAATTGGAAACCATCCTGAGATGACTGTTGCAGCTTCACTATACAGTAAAGGATCAATATCAATGTACACTTTACCAATGGCATCATTTGCACTGTAAGTATCATGGTCAAGAACTGTGATCTGTAAAGGTTCATCTTGTAAGTCTTCATCATCCACCTAAAAGCATACCTTAAAATTAAATCTCACATAGTTTTTAAATCTTAATTACCACAAATGTACACCTATATCAAATGAAAAGGATGACCATCTGCAAATAAAATCTTA